TCAGTCATCCCTCAGGGGAGCGGCTGGCTCCACCTGATCTCAGTCATCCCTCAAGGAGCGGCCTCCTCTCACCTGAGAAGCACTCTGTGAACTCCTGCTCCAGCTTCGTGGCTCTGTCGAAGGCTTTCCGGGCTTGCTCCTCCGTGATCCGCTTATTGATCTCTCTGTGGAGAGGAAGAAAGGCGCAGCCGTGAGGGCTGGCCCCCTCTGTGTTTTCACTTCCTCCATCCTGACATGCTAAGCTGCAACTTCCTTCTTCGTAGCTGGGGCGCGCAGCCAGCCACATAACCGCCACACCCTCTGCGGCTACCCGCGCTCTCGGCACCCACCCATCCAGGCCCTCTCTGGACCGACCCGTCCAGCCTTCAGCCCCAGAAGGGATGCAGAGTCTCCATCCTAACTGCATCTGGGGTTCTGATTTGCCCCGGGGCCCCTGAGAACTGTAGTCCTGCGCAGCCCAGGCAGGAGGAGGGACCTGTCACTGCCCCGAGCCTGGCTCTCCACCCTCAAGCCGTGAGAGCGGCCGTGCAGTCCAGGCGAGGCCCCGCAGGGGGAGCGGAGGGGGCCCAGCTCCATACTCACAGCACGTTCTCCAGGGAGCGGGGACGGATGAAGATGGCGATGGGGTGCAGGTGGGCCGCCTGCAGCCGCCGCACGGCATTGGCCGAGACATCGAGGATGCAGTGCTTCCCCTGGGGGCCGGCGGGGGGCGGGCGGGGACACAGCACACAGAAAGGCAGGGGCAGGAGGTTGGCCGAAGGGGAAGTGACAGATGTCAAAGGACATGGAGGGAAGAGAAGAGGAAGAGGTGTGGACAGGGTGACCAACAGACAGAAGGAAGGTGGGACGCCAAGCACCGGGGACAAGGAAGGGCAGAACAGAGGGGAGACAGGCAAAGAGAGGACCCAAAGGAGGTAATCAGAGGGCAGGCCAGGGCAGGCGTGGAGAGACGGCAGAGGAAAAGGATAAAGGAATTAGGATAGAGGGAGGAGGGAGGGGAGGACGGACAGAGGACAGACAGATGGAAGGAATGCGAGAGACAGATGGGAGGGAGGGGAGGCAGATGGAGAAAAGAGCCGCAGAGGGAAGACAGGCAATGGGGGGGGGCAGTAGGGAAAAGGAGATTAAGGAGGGGTGAGAGAGGGGAGTAGGGACCCCACAGGATAAGGGAAGGAAAGGAGCAGGGGAAGGCATGAACGCCGTCAAGGGCAAAGCCCCAGGAAGGGGAGAAATAGGGCAAGGAGGGAGGAGAGGCAGAGAGGCGGGGACAGGCGGCAGTGGGGAGCGTGGGGTCAGGAAGCAAGGGAGCCACAGAAAAGCAGGCATCAGGGTTGCCCAGGAGGAGGAGGAGGTAGAGGAGCGGAGCGCAGAGCGGGGAAAGAGACAGAGAGAAAGAGTTAGAGAGAGCTGGGGAGAGGGCAGGAGGAGGGCGGTGAGGTCCCGCCAGTCTTACCTGCTCTGCCACCTCTCGCACAGACTGCACGCTGGTCCCGTACAGGTGGCTGTTGTACTGGCCAGCCTCGATGAACTTGTGCGCCTGGATGTCCTTCTCCATTTTCTCCCGGGAGGACACAAAGTGGTAGTCCCGGCCATCTATCTCATACTCCCGCTTAGGACGCGTCGTATCTGCAGGAAGCCACCCAGCCCACAAAGAGCTCACCATCGCCCTTACTGCCGGCCTACATCAACCCCCCCCCCAGCCCCAGGGAGCAGAGACTCAGGACAGAATCGCCCCCCCAGGGTCCCCCAGGCTCTGGCCCAACCTTCCTGCTGCACACCCAGAAGGAGGCAGGCAGCGCCCCGCTCTACAGTGATCTGTGTCCCACTGTACACCAGTGTCACGGCCCTGACAACTCCAACTCCACAGACCCAAGGCCCCATACTCACGAGGGACACAGGATCCAAACTTGTCGGGGAACTCAGAGAGAAGGTCGTCGTTGGCGCGGTCTTTGGTGGGCCCGAGGATGATGATGGGGCGAGCATAGTGCACTGGGGAGAAAGAACCTGGCTCAGACAACAGGCGGATGCTGGGTGGGGGCTGGGGCCAGGCAGAGCGGGCAGGCGGGGGTGCTGAGGCAGGGGCCTGGTGGGGGCTGAGGCTGAGGCCAGGCAGGGGGGGCGGGGGGGGGGGGGGGGGGGCTGAGGCTGGGGCCCGGCTCACCTTCCATCTGCGTCACTGTCTCATAGCTCAGAACCGAGTCTTCTCGACCTGGTAAGAGACGGACATCTGCAAGGGGCTCCAAGGCAGGGGCCTGGGGCCACCTCGCCTGCTTTCCCAGGAAGGTCAAGGTGTGTTTCGTGCACCCTGCTGCTTCCCACTGACCCTACCTACCCTGTGATCCAGAGCTGGAGCCCCAGTCCTAGGAGAAAGAGCAGGCCTTGTGGTAGGTTCGGGGTTTGGCTCAGTGGCCTCCCTACCACTCCCTCACCGAGTCACCATCCACCTGGACCTACCTTGGCCTTTAACCTTGACCACTCTCGTCGCTCAACCCTGTGGGACAACATGGAGGAAGAGCAGGGAACATAGAAGACGCTCATTGAGGTCCCTACACCCTGGCCCCTCGGCAGCCTTGGTCCCCAGCGGGGCCTAGCCAGCTCCCCTGCTGGATGCCCCCCCGGGTGCCTCTACCAGGAAGGCCGCCGGCCCCAGGCCTCACCGCCGTTTGCTGGGAATGAAGCCAATGTCGTCGGTCTCACTGTCAGAGTGGACCCGCCGGGCCTGCCACCACTCCTCGTCACTGGCATCAATCACATGCAGCACGTCCCCGAAGCGGAAGCTCAGGGCCTGGCTCAAGAAGCCGCAGTCCTTGGTCTTGTCGTAATCAAACAGCGCCCTACAGCACAAGTGACTAGGGGTCAGGGCCCAGCTGAGGGCCAGGAAGGTGGGCCAGCCGGACGGGGCAAAGCTCTGCCACAGAGCACCAGGAAACCTCAAGGCTGGCTAGGGACGACAAAGCAGCGACGCGGAGAAAAGCAAGGGGCTGCAGACGGAGGAGAGCCCGAGGGCTCTGTAGTGTCATCTGACAGTGAGCGCTGAGGGGAGAGCTTGGGTGTGGGCCTCGCACCAGAGGGGACACAGCGAGCTCGGTCCAGGACACGTCCATGGACAACCCAAAGGAGAGGGCCCAAAAGCATCCGCCAGAGCTGGTCTGAACCTCCGAGACGGTATCAAGCTGGGCCAGACAGCTCTAAGAGACACCTGTACAGCAGAGCGCAGATGGGAACAGCCTACTGCACAGGGAGAGAGGGTGAAGGAGATGGGCAGGGGACTGGAGAGGCAAGAAGACAGGAAGAGGAGCCTTCCCGGTAGAGGGACCCCCAGGCTGGGCACCCAGCGGGGGCTCTGGGGAGTCAGCTAGGCCCATGTGTTCCTTGAGAAGGGGGCAAGTGCCCGCTGAGGTGTCAGGAGAGCAGCTGGGGTGGCTTGTCAATGGTGGTTTCAGTGCCCACCTAACAGGCATGAAGTTGGGGTTCAATCCCTAGCACGGGGGGGCGGGGGCGCAGTGGAAGGAAGAGAAAGAATTGAGACAGGCTCCGAAGATCGCGGGCCTTCCCACTGAGGCTAACCACAAGGTGCAGAGCTGGAAGAAGACCCAAACATCCCAGTGCTGGGTGTGTGGCGGGTGCAGGGAGATTATTGAAGACAGGGGTTCAAACTCGGCCTAGGTCCAAGGGAGAGACGGAAGGAGGGAGAAGAGAAGGAAGGGAGAGAGGGAGGAGAGAGGAAAAGAGGGAGGAGGCCTGCTGTGTTAGTGTTGGCCTTTGGTCCTGCCAGGAAAGCCACTGGGAAAGTACTTGGGCAACCAGTGGCTAGAAGGCAGGTACATGACTTGGGGCTGTTTTTCAACCAGATGATATATTCCAGATCAGTGAGCAGCCTTGATGGGCGAGAACGACACGCCCAGGAAGAAGCACGCCCAGGAAGCCCCTCACCTGATATAGAAACCTCTCTTGGGGTTGCTCCGCAGGGACGCAGTCCCTGAGCCCAGGCTGCTGTTCATGAGCTGCTCCCGAAGGTCATGGATCTTGGCCTCGAACCGGCTGTACTCTGAGGAAGGACAGAAGGTTCTGGAACTCTGTCCAGCCGTCTTGACACACCCCCTCCACGCTCACCCCACCCCGCTGGCAGGCTCAGGCCTCAGACACACCTTCCGGTTTGTACTGCGCTATGATGGTGACTGTCTGGCCCGCGTTCTTCAGGGCGATGGCGGCCTGCTCGTGGCTGGCGTTCCGGAGGTCAACACCATTGACCTAGGCAAGGAGAAGAGGTGTCCCCCGGGGCCCAGCCAGCCCCTGGAGAGCGCAGGGCCCCCGGGCACAGCGCGGAGCCTCGCACAGGCCCCTCCCTCACCGACAGAATCTGGTCCCCCTTCCGCAGCTCCCCGCTGAGGTCGGCCGGACCCCCGGCGAGGATGAAGGAGATGAAGATGCCCTCGCCGTCCTCGCCGCCCACGATGTTGAAGCCCAGGCCTGTGGAGCCCCGGTGGATGACGATCCGCCGCGGCTCCCGGGGAATGTCTTCCTCCCCCAGCAGGTCCTTGGCCACAGGGGAGTAGCGCCGAGGGGAAGTGGGGGTCATGGCTGTGGGGTAGTCAGTGCCCAAGTAGCTGCTGTGACTGATCTCGTTGTCCAGGTGCTGAGAATACGCTGAGGGGAGACGGGACAGGATGAGATGAAAACGAAAGGCCGCGGTACCCACCCAGGCATCCTCCCACCATCCCCTGGACGGAGCCCAAACCGGGCTCAGCCAGAGGGGATGCCGGCGGAATGCGGGCCATCCGCAGCCGGGTCAGAGATGTGCAGGCCGCACCACAGGGCAAGGACCTGAAGGACTGGTGACGGCAAAGGGGACTGTGGGTACCATGCTCTTCCTAAAGCAGCTCTCAGTCCATTAAACTGTCCCTCACGCCGTCATGGTTTTGTTTCCTTTAATCGGGTCATTTATCTGAAGTATTTTTCCACATTCTGCAAGGGAGACTGCTCATACCCTGTGGCCTTACTCAGCGTGTGCCCTGCCTCAGCGCCCTTCTCCTTTTCCCAGGCTTGGCCTAGAGGCTTAAGTGGACTCAAATCCAGTGTGCAAACATTCTCCCCGCCCACAGCTGCGGGTTGCCACACCCCCAGATCCACCGGAGAAGGGACGGGCAGAGTTCCAGGCCAGTGGGGCTGCGCAGTAAGACCCTGTGTCAAGGGGGGGAGGGGGGCTGCTTGCCTTTCTAGAATTGTCGGGTTCTGGTGTCTGCCCCGCCCACTACAGCGTGCTCTGCCACTGCTGAGGGCGCAGGACAATCAGACTCCTGCAAGCACTGTCCTGTGCTGAGGTGGTGTCCAGGCCTACCACGCCCTCAGGCTGCTGCAAACCCAGGCCAGCACGGGTTACACAGCTAGACCCGATCTCAAAACAGTGAGAAAACATGCTCACGCCTTCATGCACACGTGTGTGTGTGCGCGCTCGCGTGTACACACACACACACACACACACACACACTGCAGCACAGCACCCTTGTGCTTACTCTGATAAAGCTGACACAGGGAACATTTTCAGGGAGAAAGGTAGACCTCTAGACACCGAGAAGGCTCTGGCAGTGAACTCAGGACCCCAGACCTGGCCCACTCCATGCAGTCACTGCATGGCTCCCCAGACCGTCTGGTCACAGCTTGGGTTGAACTCTGCCTTCAAGTCAGGATCTCACTGTGTTGCTTGCGCCTGACTGAGCTCCCACAATCTTCCTACCGCCCTCTCTTGAGTAGCTGGGTCCACAAACATCCATTATGCCTGATTCCCACCTTTTTATTAGGTGTTATTAAGACCGTGTATGTTTCACGTACTAAGTGAATTCTGAGGAGCCGGGTGGACCCTCTTCATGGCTCCTATGTCTGCTGTATAACTCTAACAGCCTTGGGTCCCCTCCCTGGAGCCCTCTAGTACTGCAATATTAAGGCTCATCTTATACATTTATATATTCCTTCTTTATTGTTTCTTTGTTTACATACAGGATTTCACTGTGTTGCCCTGGCTGTCCTGGACTCACTGTGTAGACCAGGCTGGCCTCAAACTCAAGAGATCCTCCTGCCTCTGCCTCCTGAGTGCCAGGGTTAAAGGTGTGCCCCTGTGCCTAGCCCCACCTCGCTTTTTGAGACCAGGTTTCCAGCTGAACTTGAGCACAGAGATTCCGCTGAGCTAACTGGAGTCAGCTCCAGAGAGCGCCAGGAATCCACCTGCCTCTGCACCACCCCTCAGCAGGTGCACAGCACCCAGCTTTTTAGGAGGGTGCGAGGACTCAGACTTGGGAAGAGGCGTTTTACCACCTGAGCCATCTCCCTAGCACCATTTTGGGGTTTTTTTGTTTTTAAACACAGGGTCTCATGTAGCCTAAGCTGACCTCAAACTCACTGTGCAGTCCTGAAGGTCGGACCCCTCCCCTCCGCCTCCTGCTCACTAGGAGCGTGCACTGAAATGCCCAGGTTCACTCAGCACTGGGGATAAAGCCCAAGGCTTTCATGTACACTGGGAAAGCACTCTGCCCTCCCAGCTGTTGGAAGACAGGTTCTATGTAGCCCAGGCTTCCCTTAAACTCTCACTCCCCCTACGTCAGCCCTCTAAGCCCCAGGATTCTAAGTATTTCAGGCACCACCCCTCCTGTCTCTTGTCTTGCCCAAGACTGAAAGTCACCCCTCTTCCCAAGGTGCCCAACTTAATTCTGGGAAATTCAGAAATAGTACCAGAGGCTGGGCAGTCGTGATGCACACCGTTAATCCCAGCACTCTGGGGGCAGAGGCAAGATCTCTGAGTTCGAGGCCAGCCTGGGCTGCAGGGCGAGTTCCAGGACAGCCAAGGCTACACAGAGAAACCCTGTCTCAAAACACTAAAGTAAAACAAAAGTCCCAGAGAGCTGGACATGATCAGACACACCTATAATCCCAACCCCAGGAGGCTGAGGTAGGAGGCCTGCCAGTTCAAGGGCAGTTTTGGCTACACAGTAAGACTCTGTCTCTAAAAGAAGTTAAAAAACAAATAGTACCATTAAATTTGAATGTGGCCTAAGTGTGTTTCATATTTGATAAAGAAAAATAATATCTCATTCTTTCCAAAAAAAAAAAAAAAAAAATGTCTTAGCTATTCTCCCACACATTTTCCCAATTGAACTTTAAGATGCAACACAGATTCCAGAAGAAGACTGAAATTCTGATTAGGATTCCATAAAATGTATAGTTGGAGGAAGGTTGAGCTCCTTCACATATTAAGCCTGTATTTTTCCATACAGGCTCAGCAGATAAAGACTCCTCCCAACCAAGCCTGACCACCTGACTTTGATCCCCGTGTCCACCTGGAGGAAGGACAGAGCCAACGCCCACAAACGGTCCTCTCACCTCCACAGTTACTATGATGTGTGAGCCTGTAACACACACACACACACACACACACACACACACACACACACACACTCAAATTAAGTAAAGGGAAAAACATCCATCCAGAAACATTGTTTCATTCCATTCATCATTTTTGCCAGGTGGTGGTGCACACCTGTGATCCCAGCACTCGGGGAGGCAGAGGCAGGAGGATCTCTGTGAGTTCCAGGCCAGCCTGGTCTACAGAGTGAGTTCCAGGTCAGCCAGACATGATAAGACTCTGTCTTAAAAAACTATTTCAGTGGTTAAGAGCACTGTCTGCTCTTCCGTAAAGGTCCAGGGTTCAATTCCCAGCACCCACATGGCAGCTCACAACTGTCTGTAATGCCAATCCAAGGGATTTGACATTTCACACTAATGCACATAAAACTATTAAAATAAATAAATAAATATTTTTTCATCACTTTCTTCCTTTTTTTTTTTTTTTTTTTTTTTGGTTTTTTGAGACAGGGTTTCTCTGTGTGGTAACCTGGCCTCTGGCTCCCGAGTGCTGGGATTAAAAGCCTACACCACCACATCCCACTAAGTTACTATATTTCTTGTCAAATGACAAAAGTATTCCTTTTCTGTTTTCCCCATTCCAACCATAACAATCAAAATGTTATGACAAATTTGGCCTAACAAAATTATTGTGGTTCAAAATCTCAGTGCTTTAAAGTCAAATAAAACAACATTTGAAAACAGAGAAACCGAGGCTAGAGAGACGGCTCAGCAGTTAAGAGCACTGACTGCTCTTTCGAAGACCTGGTTCGGTTCCCAGGACCCACATGGTGGGTCACTACCACCTGTTCAGATTCAGTTCCACAGAATCTGACCACCCAGCACACTTGCAGCTTCCATGAGCACAGGCCACGCTACACAGTGGCACACAGACAAACATGTGGGGAGTTCAAGGCCAGCCTGGTCTACAAAGCAAGTCCGGGACAGCCAGGGCTACACAGAGAAACAACCGAAACCAACAACAAAAACCTCTTACAAAAGAGAAGGGAAAGGAAGAAGTGTGGCTGGGTGTGGCCGCACAAGGCTGAAATCCCAACCCTGGGAGCGGGTAGGAGCAGGGGCAGGTCCATCTCTGTGAGTTCTAGGCCCAGCCTGGTCTACCTAGTGAGATCCTGTCTTGAAAAACAAAAACAAAGCAAAGCAAAACAGAAGACAAGCCATGGGGTGGGTGAGATGGCTGAACAGGTTGATGACCCCAGTTCAAACCCCAGCGCCCACATGGGGGAAGGAGAGAAGAGACTTTCACAGGTTTGTCCTTTGACCTGAACACACACGCACGCCACCAAGCGTCCATACCCACACAAATATACACAAACAATAAACCCATTTTTCTCTAATTTATGAAAGTAATTGGCATAATGGGGACACACATCTATAATCCCAGCACTTGGGAAGCTGAGTTTGAAGCCAGCCCACTCTACAGCCTGAGTTCAGAACAGCCAGGGCTACACAGAGAAACCCTGCCTTAAAACAACAACCACAGAAAGATACCTATAAATAAAAATTCTAAAACCAAGCATGGTGACACACACCTGTAATCCCAGCATTCAGGAGGCCGAGACAAGTGAATTGGCACAAGTTCAAAGCCAGCCTGGCCTACATATGGAATAGTGGAGCTACACAGAAAGAAAAAAGAAAAGACAAAAAAGCGAGAACGGAAATGGAGCCTTCTGAGTTCTTTCTTCCCTGCTTTTCCTTAGTAAATCTATGTTCAGTCTACAGAGAAGAGGAAGGTGGGAAAGAAATTATACAGCCGTACAGCCCGGGGCGTGACTCAGTGGCAAGCGTTTGCACGAGGCGGCCCTGGCTTCCATCCCTATCACCTTTGCAAGGAAAATAAGTAACTTCTTTTAATTATTGGAAACTCCAGGAGCACTTTTCAGCTGGTGAGAAATAGCGGCGCCAATAGAAAGGAGTTACGGAGTAAGCGGCGCCTTCCTGACTGCTGGAGTGGCGGGCACATGTGGGGACTCGTTATGTGAAGGTCTGTTCTCACTGCACCCGGCATCTCCACCCCGGGGCCACCGAAGGGGTCTGTGTCAGAACAGATGTTGAGTTTCAGTTGACTTTCACATCCATACTTGGTCTCTTTTGTCTCTGTCTCTGTCTCTGTCTGTCTCTGTCTCTCTCTCTGTCTGTTTCTCTCTGCCCCTCTCTTTCTAGCAGAGTCTCATCTCACTGAGTAACCCAGGCTGGCCTAGAACTTCCAATCCTCTGCCTCTGGCTCCAGAATGGTGGGATACAGATGTGGGCCACCGCACCCATCCTGCTGACTTTTTAATACACTGAATCATGTTTATCATGTTTCTGAGGTTTTCCCAAACACCTTACTCTGCGCCAGCGTTACTCTTACTGTGTTGCAGGCACCTGCCAGGGCGTTCTGATCTTGGCCTCCCTGGCCCAGAGTTCAGCGGGCCTCTGTGCTCCTTCTCCATGATTGCTCTGTGACCATGTGAACTAGTCTTATAGAAGAAATGTGAAGCCTTTGTCCTTTTCTTATTTTTCCCCCTTTTTCTCACAGCCTCAAGTAGCCCAGGATGGCCTCAAACTTGCCATGTAGCCCAGGACAGCCTTGACCTCCTGATCTTCCTGCCTCTACCTTCCAAGAACTGGAAAAGCAGGTATGTCCCATCTCGCCAGGTTCTTTCCCTACATTCATGCACATGGGAGGCTTGGGGGGGAAGGTGTAGAGACAGGGTTTCTCTGGGTAGCCCTGGCTGTCCTGGAACTCATTCTATAGACCAGGCTGGCCTCAAACTCAAGAGATCCGCCTGCCTCTGCCTCCCAGCAATGGGATTAAAGGCGTGCGCCGCCATGCCCAGCTCTTTTCTACATTCTTAAAGACTGTGAGAATTATCTGTTGCTTGAGGATTTGGCCCGAAGCATAAAAAGCACCTGGGCTTTGTATCCCTTGGACAAGAGGACATGAGTGCCCACTTTCAGTGCCTCCCCGTGACTGCTTTTTCTCCTCTCTGACCAGCACAAGGCTCAGAGGTTGTGGTCCTGGAAACAGGCCCCGGGGCTGTCATGGGGCAGTCTTAGGAATGGCTAGGACGGGTCATGAGGGGCTCTGAGGTCTGGAGGGCTCTCACAGGTTGTGATGTCTGGGGGAGCATAGCTGTCACTCAGGTAGGCATTGCTGGGCTTGGCCACCTTTAGGTAGACAACGTCATACGTGTTCTTCAGGGCGGCCACGGCATCTTCGTGCATGACGTCCTCCAGCCCCACACTGTTGACCTGGAGTCAGGGGAAGCAAGGCTCAGACAGGCCCGGAAGCAAGCGTGGAGAGGGCCCTGGGCCCGGGCGTGAGCCCTGGGTCTGGGCCAGAAACAGGGATTGGGACCCTCACCGCCAGGATCTTGTCTCCGATCTGCAGCCGGCCATCCTTGTGGGCGGCGCCGCCTTCAATGATCTTCGTGACGTAGATGCTGTTGTCTCCCGGGATGTGCTGGTTCCCTACGCCCCCTGCGATGCTGAAGCCAAGTCCTGGACGGCAGAGAGGGGAGAAGTGGCTGCCTGGCCTGGGGAGGGAGGCCTGGGGCAGGGCAGGGAGAGGCAGGAGCTTGGCCCTACCTTTCGGCCCTTTGATGAGCTTGATCTCCATGACCTTTTCGGCTGGGGGTTTCCGGCGCATGACGTAGAGGCGGACGATGGAGCCTGCCTCTTTGAGGGCCTCCACCGCCGCTGAGTGTGTCACCTCTCGAACATCCACTTCATTCACAAACAGGATGCTGTCATTGACCCTGGAGCAGCAATGTGGGCCTGAACCAGGGGCTTCCTCCTGACAGACACCCCCTTCCAGGGTGCTAGCTTGCTTGCTCTTTTGATGTTCCAACACAGGGTTTCCCTGTGTACCCCTGGCTGTCCTGGACTCACTTTGTAGCCCAGGCTGGCCTTGAACTCAGAGATCCGCCTGGCTCTGCTGGGACTACAGGTGTGCACCGCGGTACCCTGCAGCAGTAGCTTTCTAAGCCCTGTGTTCTCAGCTCACCTGAGGCGGCCATCTTGAGCTGCAGCCCCACCAGGAATGATCTTGGTGATAAAAATGGACGGGTCGTCCCCGATGTGTGGGTTGTCAGTGCCACCTGCGATGCTGAAGCCCAGACCTGAGTTACCCTGCGGAGAAAGAGGGCAGGAAGGTCAGCTCCCCTACTGCTCAGTTCTGTCAAGGGAAGCGGGCCGGGCCAGGGCCGGGCCGGGGCCGGGGCCGGAACACACAGGGACACAGGAGACTGGGCACCAGGAAAACTCAGGCACACAAAGAGAAACAACAGCCCCGAGGGAGGGACCTTGCATGGAGGGGCCGGCTCTCACCCTTTCCAGCGTGATCTCCTCGTATTCCATCTCCCCCTCTGTCCCGTTCACCTGCAACTCCAGCACGGGGCAAAACACAAGGCCAGTAAGACAGACCCTCAGGCCAGAGCGTCCCCCTCCCTCCCAACCGGGGTCCACTCTCTCCCTTTCTCTGACCCTTCTCCTAGAACCCTAGTCCCAAAATCTAAACAACTCACATAGCCTGGGGCCTCGAGGGTGTCCGTGTTGACAATCACAGGGGGGGAATTGGCCTGCAAGAGAAGACAGAGACAAAAAGCTGCCTTAGCACTGACTCCAGGGGGAGTCCGTAAGCAGAGGGGTCCCACCAGTCTGGAGCCCTTTCCCCAATGTGCAGTGGCGCCACTCTGCCACCTTCAGAGCAACTCAAGGACCCAGGTTCAAGCTACATGACACAAACATGCACACAGACACACACACGCTCGCGCACACACACAACTCTGCCCAGCCCAGGCCCCTGTGTATTTAAGGAGGTGTATGAGAAGAGGAAAGAGAGAGACGGCCAGACGGAGAGGGGAATAGCAGATGGTAAAGTGGGGAAAGGGGGGACGCTGGGGGGTGCTGCTCACCGGATGTAACGCTGCTGGGTGTTACATGCATTAAGTGGTACGTATTACAGCCCGGGGTTCGGGTCCACCCGGGCCTGCTCTCCCGCTTGCGGCTCCCTTCCCTGTCTTTGTACCTTCACAATCATTCAGATATCTTGATAACCCTCCCCCAAATGTGTCCCTCACCTTGGCACACATTTGCTCTAAATCTTGCGCGCCCGTGAGAATCCGGGGTTTCCCCAGCTTCTGGTCCCTCCCTCTCTCTCACCCACCCGCCATCCAATCCACCCCTTCCTCCAGGGACCAGGTTGCCTAGCAACAGTATCTAAGACCAGCCAAGACCTGGGGAGACCCACCTCCAGGAGGCCTGGTAGTCAGGACAACGGGTGGGGGCGTGGCCTAGGGTATGACAGACTCCCGAGAGCAAAGGACTCGAGGAGTCCCTCTCCTAGGCGCCGGACCCGCCTACCGCTAGCCCGGCCAAGAGGCCAGGAGGCGTCTACTCGTGGGCGTGGGCGCGGTGCGTCCCGAATAACCTGCCTCCCTTTCTCTCTGCAGCCCCGCCCTACGCAGTGCAAAGACTCTCAGGAAGGAGGCATGGTAAAAGGCATCCAAAACCTAGCCCCTGCCCCCATCCCATGTAGGAAAGGGTTAAAACGAGGCGTGCCCTGGTCCCTGACGTCAGTGGCCTCAACGCAGCCAGGTCTCTAGCTCAACTGCAGGGCGGGGCCAGCTCTAGAATTGTCCTAGGGGCTTCCCCAGTTGCCAGGGCAACCGAAGCCACGTCTCTATGGCAGTGAGGTGAGGCTGCCTAGAGACTCCTTCCGGGGGTCCCCAATCTATTTCCTCCGTAGACAAATATTTGAAATCGACCGAGCACGAGGGTTCCCGGTCCCCTTCCTAAGGTCTCTCTTCTCTTACTGCTCCTTCTGAAGCCATTTCAGGCCCTTCACAGATTTTAGCCCCACCAATCCACTGTCATCTTCCCCTGCAGGCAAACGCTGCTGTCTAGCCAGCATCAGTGCCTGCTGAAGTCATCCACGGCCTCCTCTGAGGCACACACCTCAGACCAATCCTCGCCCTACAGCCTCACTCCACACCCAGTCAATCCCTCCCGTGGCCTCCCTAGATCCTGTCCCCGGCCTTCCTCCCAAGCCACTTCCCTGTCCCCATACAAGCCCTCAGCGCCATCCCCTACCAACTCCTGCCCTCACCCGCCACCCTCTAACGAGAGGGGGGCCTCATTACTCTCTACCTCATCTTCAACCCCTTAGGCTCTATCCCCAAATCACAGTCCTCCACTTCTCAACCCGCACCCCAGCTTCTCTCCTGTCCCGTGGCTGAAGCCCTGCCCACCCTCACGGCCTCCGCTAGCCTTCTCCCAGCCCCTCAAGGACCTCGTTTTCCTCCCCACCCAAGACATAATGGCCCCATTTTTGCAAAAGGCATCTGAATCTTCCTTGGCTTCGGCCAGAGTTGCACACAAATGTGCTATTTCCAGGGCTCGGCGCTCCTCCTTCCTCTCAAGCAGCGAGCCTCACTCCAGCCTCAGCCTCGGGCCTGAAGACCCTTGCCCTCCCCACCTTCCTCCAACTACTCCCTTTGCCACGTCCCTGCCTTATCCCTTGGCTCACAAATCTTGGTGAAATGCGAGCAACTGGGGTCCCCTTCCTAGAGCGCCCCACACTTCTGGCCCCTCAGAATTCTCCTCAGTCTCACAGCTTGTGCCCCTAGAAGAGGACCCTGAGGGAAAGTGGGCTGGGAAACAAAAGGCCTCTGAGGAATGAAGAGGGAGAAAAAAAGCATGCTGTGAACACAGCGGAGGGAAAGGGGAACAGGTAGCCATATGTGATAATGAGGACAGGAGACGGCTGGAGAAGGAGGCAGGGGTGGAGGAGAGACCAAGAGGAAGGAAAGAGACAGGGACGATCAGGGAGGAGCGACGCTGGGAAAGAAATGAATGGGAGGACAGACAGAAAGGACCGACTGCTCCAACCAGGCGAGGATTGATCAGGCCACAGAGGCCTGAGCTGGGGATCAGCGAGGGGGGGAGAATACATGCGTGGGAGGAGGAGAGAGACAGCATCAAGAACCAGCCAGCCAGCGGGGAGGTGGGGGGCACGGGAGGGAGCAAAGGCTGGGCACAGGAAAAGGCAGAAAGGACCAAGCCTCCCAGTCTCAGTCCAGCCAGATGGAAAGAGCTGAGACTCAGGAACAGGCAGCGCCAGGCCCAGAGGCGGAGGTTGGGGGAGGAGGTGGGGAAAGGGACAGGGGCAAACGAGGGCACCAGGCGCTTGGAACAGAGCTCTGGACAGGGAAAACTGAAGTGGGGGCTGGGGGTGCGAGGGAGTGAGAGCGCCCTGGCATTGGGGGCACTTCTTGGGCCATCCATCCATCCTCTCAACACACCAGACATAAGCAAGGACGCATGCACTGGCTCTAGGCTCCGAGCCCACTCCCACTTGCCTGGCCTATTTCTCTTCTGAGACCAAAGTGCTTCCGGCGTCCAACCCCCTCCCTCCCAGATCCAGAAGCACAACCCCCGCACCCCAGCCCCAAGAGCCCAAAAGCCACCCCCAACCTTTTCCCCCATCGCTCTCGCCCTACCGGCCCGTGGGGGATTGCTGCAGCTCCGAGGCTCCGAGGGCCGCACTGGGGAGGGGGCCGCCAGGGTCTCCTACCTTGAGGGGCGAGAGGTGGGCGTGGCCCACGACCCCGTGGAAGGCCTCGAGGTGGGACAAGTTCCTCTCCGCCACGTGCACCAGCTCGGGGGCGTTTACCTGGTTGGGGAGGTGGGCCGGGCTGTGCTCCAGAGGGGGCGTGTCTTCATCTTGGTAGCGATATTTCTGGGGACAGGGACAGAGGCAGCGTCACCGGGCCAGCCCAGCGCCCGGTGCCCAGGGCACCTCCTTGTCCCCTCGCAGTGCAGTGCTGAGGGCCCTGGGGCCTGCCCGGCTCCTCCCCCGCCCTCTCCTCCAGCCCATTGGCTCCCCTCTCCCCGCCCTCCGGACAGCCCCCTCTCCAGCCAGGTCCAGGCTCCATTCCTCCAACTTCCTACTCCTTGTATCCTAGGGCTCTGGCCGCCTACCTCACATCCCCCACCGCCGGTGTCTTCAAACCATTCCCAAGCAAGCCTTCATCTTTATCCTTTTACGAGTTGCAGCGGCTAACCCGTGCACCCTCATTTATCCCCAGATTCTTTGTTTCTGCCATCATCTCCCATTTTCACACTCCATTTGACGTCCCTGCTCTACACCCTACCCTATCACCCCAACTTCCCCATGGCAGCCTCTCCCCCATAAGCAACTGGCTCTCCAGCACCCTGCATGCCTGAAACAGGAACCAAAGTCAGGTACTTCAGCTAGAGCGTGCTAGCCATCAGCAGCCCCTAAGCAGGGCGAGGCTTCGCCGGCCCCATCTTCCTTCAGCGGCCTGGCTCATTCCCAATTACTCAGCAAAGGGGCCCGAAGCTAGCCAGCTAATCCGGATAAACTAGACGGGGATGCGCTGGGGGAGGAAGGGGAGGGGACAGGCAGGAGGGGGGTCTGGCCCCCTGATTGAGGAAGATGATACAATGTTTTAAGATTGAACGCCTGCTCTTTGCCCGACTTTGGAGGTAAAAAGGCTCTCAACGTGACTCCCTGACCAACTAACCAGCTGCCAGGACAAGAGCCTCCTGCTTAATAGAAACATCAGTAAAGGGGACTGACTGGGGTTCCGAGAGAGGCAGCAGCCCCTCCCCTCCAGAGCTGACCTCCGAAACTGAACTGTCAATACCCCAGACTCAGGGAAGAAGGCAGAGAGCACCAGATGCAGGGCTCGGCCAGGGACTGGAGGAAACAGACACAGCAGCTGCTGCCACACATGGGCGGAATTTCCCTCCCAGGGTCTCTGAGAGACTGAGAGGACCAACATTTGGAGGGCAAAAGTAAGAAGATTAAGTAGAAGGAAGTTTATCAAGGACTGTGATTCTGAAAACGCTGAGGAGGATGAAGCAGGTTGACTGTAGATTAAGGACATAGTAAGGGGATTAGGGGAAGCGAGTGGTCCTGTCAACCAAAGGCTCTCAAAGCAGGACCCAGTGGTGAAGAGAGTTAGCACAGGCCGGGGCGCCAGAGGCAAGCAGAGCTCTGAAAGTTTGTGTAGAAAGTTCCAGGCCAGTTAGGGTTACACAGCTAGACCCTGTCTCAACAAATGAATGAATAAAACAAACAAAAACACTCTACACGTTTGAAGAGCCTTAGCGAAGGGAGATGGGGCTCACCAAGTGTGGGTCGCACCCTGGGAGGACATATAGGGGTGAATACACTACACGTAATCGCTGCACTCTGGAGGTGCAGCCTTAGAAGTTCAAGGTCACCCATGACTACATAGTGAGTCCAGGACCAACCAAGACCCTGCTTAAGCCCTGCTCCCCAGAAAAGCAAGAGGGGAAGAGCAGCAAGGCGAGTCCAGGCGAAACGGACCTTCTTGAAGGCTGAGCTGCCCCGGTTAGCGTTCTGAACGAGCAGGTCAACAGCCTGACTACCGCCCCAGCTGAGGGACGGGGCCCCACAGCAGGACATGCCCACAGGAGGCGCCCTGAAGTCCCTGCAGGGTAAACTAGGCAGGACCAAAGTGTGCACCTCCCAAATGCACCCCACTTAACAGGACATTTCTAAATATGAGGAACGGTCTGGTGCACAAAGGAAATGGAGGCCTGGAGGGAGCCGATCAGCCATTTATTGTAGACAAGAAACAAAGGTGACCCTTTATCACCGTGAGGCCCCAGCCTCCCTGCTCCCCTACGGTGGGGAGGGACCTGTGCGTGACACTAAAGGAAAGGCTGGAGACTGGGAGACGGTGTGAGGGAAATGAGGGCCACAGAAGAGCCAAAGTTCTCAAGATATGGCCGGAGGAGCTAGGGCCTGGGCCTTGCCCTAGGGGATTTCACACGAACTCTGTGAAGCCGTAGGGACGGTAGGAGAGCAATTCCGACACTGCAAACACGGAGGGGGGGGGGGTGTTCGCCCCTACAGTTCTGGTTTACAGGCCAGCCGAAGCCAAACAGGAAGGAGGCCACGGCTCCTAACCCAGGGAGAGGCAGGGCCCTGGCTGGCGCTCTATGCTGTTGGGCAAGTCTGCACCCCAATATATTAGGACTTGAAACAAGGATAAGGCCTGACAGATGGTGCCCCTGTTATTCCTTCCTGCTGCTTTCCAAGGCCCAGCTGCACAGAATGACCTGGAGCCGGGGTTGGCACCCCAAGAATAGAGGGGTGTGGGTTAAAGTGGGGGACAAGAGGTACAACCCACTGCGCCTGTTTTCAAGAAGTTGCAACCCAGAGACCCCATGCCAAGCAGAAGGAAGAGCAACAGCATTTGAAGCTCGCATCCTGAGATCTGGGGGGTGGGGGTGGGGGGTGTCCGGGAAGAGGCAAGCAGGCCGGATCCCGTAGATCCCGGACCGCGGCACGTACCACGCAGAGACACATGGAGGCGAATCTGTTCCGAGCCGACATGGAGAAGGGGAGGGGGACTGAGGGGAGGGTATGGGTGGGATAGCAAGGGTGCTGGGTTGGGGGAGGGGGAGGGGTGAAGGGGGCGGGGGCTGCGGCGGCCGCGGCGACAGGAGGCTGCGGCCAGGGAAGGGGGGGGGCAGCGCCTGCGCAGTACCAGAGAGCGTCATGATGGGAGTGAAGGGTGAGGGAGACCCTCTTGGCTACCAACTTCCTCCCTGATGGCAGCGATTTCCTTGCTGTCTTTAGCTTCCCACGGTCTACTCCTATTTCAATCACTCTACAAACACTGACACTTGTAAAATTTAGCGACTTATCCTTCTGGCGCTCAGGGACCCCTTATTTCACCCACTTCTCCACCACCCCCAAAATACTGGGCCTGTGACTATTTGAAAACCTCACTGTGCATCTCATCAGTACGGTACCCTGGACTAGAGGGGAGCAGCAGCGTTTCTCCCTGTCACCTCTGAGAACTGCGAGGGAGCTCGTAAGCCCCCACCCTAAGCCTCTTGCTGTTAACACCCTATAAGATTGCAAAGCATCTGCTATGACAGAGTTCCTGCCGACCATCCAGCCCCACCCCACGGCCAGACAGTGCTTCTTCAAGAGTTTAAAGAAACGTAGATCTTCCACGTGCCCTCAAATTGACATGCCTTTTAAATCATTCCTTTACAAGTCCTCTGTCCCCCAGACCACCACTGGTGACTTTAACATTAATATATTACCCAAATAAGGCCTCTTCACATGTTTGTAGTTTCCTTGTCCAAAATCACTAAACTGAATTATATGCTGGACTTTCTAAGATACCCCAAAACCTCACTAGAACCCAACTTTGAGTATTTCTAATCTGCTTTAAAGCAAATCTTCCAAATCCAATTGCAGTCTTTTCCAATCATTCTAACATTCTTGCTTTATATTAAAAATATTTCATGCTTTACCTGAAACTATACTACATTTGTGTGTGTGAGCACACACATCTGAGTGCTATGGCATGCATGGAGATGGTTCTTTCCTTCCGCCGTGAGTTACAAGGATCCTTCTCAGATCATCAGGCTTGACAGCAAATGCCTTTACCCACATCCTGACAACTCCAATCTCTCTCTCTCTCTGTGTCCCTCTCCCCCTCATGAGAGAGACTACAGTCTCCTGTAACCCAGACTGGCTCCAGGCTTGAATTCCTGATTCTCCTGCCTCTACTTCCCAAGTTCTGGCATGAACCACCATGTCTAACTTTTTCTTTTCTTTACCCTTCAAATTAGTAAATTACTTACTTTCTGGCTCCTGCTCCTGCCCCATTTCAACACCCTCTCTGTAATTCTGAGCTACATTTTTGTTGGAAGATTTGCTCCCAAATATATCTTTTCTACACCCACAGGGGAAAGGAAAATAAAGCATCAGGCTAAACATGGTGGTCTTTACCCTTAGTGCTAGGGAGACAGAGGCAGGCCAGTCTCTGCGAGCTCCAGGCCCACAGAGTGAGGCCCCTCACTGCGGACTGCAACCACAGGGATCCAGGACGTTCACAACACCCTAAACTGTCTCAGGTCATTTCAGTCTCCCATCCTTCCCCAGACTCCTGAACTTGTAAACCTCTCTCCCAGAGAGCCTCTCGGTGAAGGTTTATCTCTCTCCTTGAGGGGTCTCCCCAAATCTGCTTTCTACGGAATGTAAAATTCCCGCCCAAGGCAAAAGGCCTTAAGGGACTCTACAGAACCTCACCCCTGCACTCACCGGCCTCTGTTAGGTAAGACCCCCAAGATGGATCCCCACCTCAACGACCTAGTTTCATATCTAAATAAAATGCATGGGTCCTCAGAAAGAACCAGTGCGGGACAGGCTTGGACTCAAAAATCTTTTTTGGTCTAGAAAATACATAGGTCCCGCTCCTCCACCAGAAGGCGCAACGGACCATTGAGACCCTCTCCCATCCCCCCCCCCATTTCCTTTTTCCCTCCATTTTCCGTTTCCCCGTTGCCTGGCAACGCAGCAATCAAGGACTTTGCCGTCGCCTAGCAACTGTCTCCCTGGAACACGGAGCTGAGGTAGGAGGGGTACTCTGATGAAATCCGAGCAGGCCTCCATCTTGGGAAAATTGAGACGTCATATCTCCAACCCACGGATTCTCCTTTCCAGAGACCCCCGCACCCCGCAGTTCCTTGGACTAGGGCCACGCGAACCCGGCCTCCTTTCCGTACAGGAACCGCACCCCGCCCCTACCGGGTCAGCCCCGCCCCCGGAGGGGTGTTGCCCCCCCCCCCCCCCCCGTGGAGTAAGCCGACTCCGCCCACCTGGCCGTGAAGCCACGCCTCCCTGCGCTTCCCGCCCATTCGCTCCGCGGCCCCGCCCACACCAGCCTCCGCCACGCCCCTGCCGACCAATGAATGAAGCGATGGGCCACACCGCCCCGCCCCCAGCGTCTCGCTTTGCCCAATAGGGACCCCCCGGCGGGCTTAACCGCTTCGCCTCCGGGGCCCTGGCCCCGTGCCCCCGGCCCTCCCCGGCCCTCCCCCAGCCCCCACCCGTTGCGCCCCGCCCGCCGACACCCTCGCCCTGCCCTCCAGTCGGCCGCGCAACTTCAGTCGTCGCTGGTTGCCATGGCAACTGCGGCAGCAGCCGCGCGGGCAGAAAGGGGGAGGGACGGGGGCGGAGTGGGAGAAAGCTGCTCCGAGACCGAGGTGCTGGCGGGGAGCTGGGTGCCGAACGGGACTCGGGGATAGCTGCACAGCGGCGTTCACGGAGCGCAGAGCCGAGCACACGTTAAGTAGGCAGTAAAGGTCCCTTAAATTACAGACCGACGAGGCCGGCTCGGCGGCCACGGAGGCTGTGCACTCCCATCCCACCCCCAGCATTTCCGTAGGGCAGAGGCTATGTGCCCCCTGCTGGCTCCTCCCGGGCTCCCCCGCCACTGGCCTGGATACAGAGGAACCACAACTCCCAACAGTCCGAAGGACAACTCCACGCTACCACTGAGAGAGCTGGTACCTCAAGGCCTTATGGGAGTTGGAGTCCCTCCATCCTGAAGCTGACAAGTTTTTCTGGCCAATGAATGTGGCAAAGCTGGGTCTCCAAACCTCAGCAAGACCCGAAGGCGTGATCGGCTCTGCAAGCCTCCTGCCTTCAGGGAAGCTCGGGTCATGTGCTCCATCGAACACTCAGGAGTTGGGAGCGGAGAAATGAATAAAAGCAGCCACCCAGGACAGCCACCAGCGCAGGCAAGCCCCTCGCCCTTACTGGCACTCATGTGTTCACGTGTTAGCGGCAGAGCCCACACATTTCAGGGGGCTTCCTATACACATCTGTGCACGGTGACAACAGCTAGGGGCCAAGGCCAAAGATCAGGCCTAAGGACAGGCGACAGAAAGGGCCCTGACTGAAAGAGGGCCAGAAGAGCCGAGGCACAAAATTGCGCTGGAGACCAGGGGAGGAGAGAAGCCAGCTCCCTGGAAGAAAGCCCAGACCCCGCAGAACAGAAGAGCAAGCGGCGCTGTAGATGGGGAGAGGGGTAGAGACCTGAGGTCTTCAGCCTCCGTCGTGTTCACCCGTGCACAACGCATGTGTATACACATGGGTGAGTTTGTGGCAAGGAACATGTGTGTCCTCAGCTTCCTCCCATAAGAAGCTGCAGTTCCCACTAAATATAACCCCCTCCCCAGCCTGTGACTCACCCGGACCCCGCCTCCCCCGGCCCCCACTTCCTGTCCCACCCCCCAGCCCCCAGCTGCCTGCCGCCCGCCCCAGCCTCCCTCCACACACCAGCTTGCCAGTCCCGGAGTCTGGAGGCAAACCACCTAGGCTTGCTCGGCCTCTTCAGCCCAGAGCGCCCGGTCCTTCCAGGCTCTAAGCACAGGGGCACCCTGGACCCTCCCTGGGCCCCGGCTCTGCGAGCCCTGTCCTCCTCCTACACCCTGGCCTCTCCACCCTTAGTGGAGTCTTCAGAGACTTAGTGGAGTCTTCAGAGACCCTTAGATCCAGCGGTCTTCCCAAGAGCCGGGGTAACAGTCTCCCCCATCTTCTCTTCTGTTTTCCTGATGAGATGTGGGAGATGGGCCACTGGGCACCTGCCTCGGCTACCCCGAAATCTCGTACCACCCACATGGTCCCACTCCAAACCTCTCCTCCTTCCCAGGAGAGGACAACCTCAGCTCCTATGGGGTACCCCAAATCCTAATCCCACCTGGTCCATCCTCTCAGGTAGTTCTGTATCAGGACCCCAGCCCTCTGACAACTCCCAGGGTGCTCCAGTCCACAGAATTAAACTCCAGCAATCCCCTCAAACCAGGAGCACCCCAAACACATCTACCACAAGATGTTCCGTTTCCTGAAGGCCCACCCTTACCTGACAGCTGACACCCCCAGATGAGCCAGACACTCTCAACCAGTAACCTTTACCCTCATGCCAGGAGACCCCCAACGCTGGTTTGCATCCAAAGACCAGCTTTTTTTTTTTTTTTGCCCAGGAGGGAAGACAGCCCCCACCCCAGCACACAGGGAGCCCACCTTCCCACGTATCTGACCAGAGCTCCCGTGTGAGAGGCAGGCTTCTCCTTAAATAAATCGCCCTCAAAACATTGCTGGTGGACCAGAGCCCAGCAAGCCCCCAGGGGCCAAATTCTCCATTCCTCTAGAGGGACAAAATGTCACTCCTGGTGGCACCTGTGGCCAAATCCAGCGTTTCCTCAGACGTGAACCCCAAAACTAAATGTGACCCCTCTAACACATCTTACTTCAGAGGCTCTCGCTCTGGTGTCTGCAGCCCCAGATAAGGCCTGGCAACCCCCCTTTACAAATTCATTACCTGCTCCCCCTCCCCAATGCCCCCCCCATCGTGCTTACCTTGGTTGTCACTATACAGAGACAGTCCATGTTGGGGGCCGCGGCGGCGAGTAGGGGGCTCTGACTTCATTGGAGTTTTGTTCCTCCCCTCGGTGGGTTCTCACCCCTCCCCCCTCCGCACCCCACTTTTGCAGGGGGGGCCAGGATGGGGGGAGGGGTGAGAGGGGAAGGAGAAGGTTGGAGGAGAGAAGGGTAGGGAAGCGTGGAAGGGAGGGGGGACCCTAAAAAGGGCTCCCCAGTGGAGGGGAGGGGGCTGGAGGAGCACACCCCGATTCTCAGGAGGGGCAGGGGCACAGGGGGCTGGTAGCCCCGGAGTTCTGGGGCTGGGGCATGAGCTGGGGTGGGGGAGGGGAACTGGATTTCGGGAAGCCCCGGGGTATGCGGGGGTCTTGCCAAACGGCCAGGGGCTAGGGGCCGTGGCGGGGGAGTGGGGGGGGGGGGGGGGGTCGGAGATGGCAGCGGCCGATGAAGCCGCGGAGCCGATGAGGGAAGGGGAGAGAGGAGGAGAGAGGAAGCAGGGGGAGGGAGGGAGGGAGCTAGGAGCCAGAATGGGGGGGTGCCTTGGCAGGGTTAACTCCTTCACTGCTGGCAGGAACCCGGATAATGGAAAAGGAGCTAGACTCACTAGCGGGGAAGCTCTACGGCAAACATGGAGGCCTGGCTGGCCTCGGCGATGACAGCAGAGACAAGGAGGACGAATTTCATTTCTTAGAGGGAAAAGCCCACGGTTCGGATGGCAGCATCCCAGGTTGTCTGAGTGATGGAGGGAGGCCACAGCATGGGGTAGGGTTTGAGGGAGGGGCTGGCCACACAGAATCCTGAGGGGCCTAGTTCTCCCCTAGGATTCACAGGAAGAAGTCTGAGAAGTAATTAATTATGGCCTGGACTCCCTGGTGCTGAAATTGGGGCAATCCAAGATAGGGGAGAAGAGAGGGGCAGAAGACTGGCTGACCACAGAAAGAGTACTCTCAGTGCCCCAACACCTAAGTCAGCGTGTGGGATTTGCTTGCCAAAGCCCCTAAGACTGAGCTTAAAATTAGCAAGACTGTGCATCCCTCAGTCCTGGCAGCCAGGAAGCCAGGCACCTACCTTCATCACCTTACCTGACTCTCTGAGATGGAAGCCTCGTAATAGTCCAGGATGTCTGTCACAGGAACACAGCTAAGTCACTCTCCCACAGCCCAGGCCCCTCTAGCCACCCCTGCTAGCCATGGCTTGTTTGTCAAGACCTACTCTAGCTAGGACGGATGCTGCAGAGAGGGCACAGAAGCTGAGCTTGGATCAGCCCCTCTGCAAGCTTCCAAACAGCCCAGAACCTGCAACACTTGACCTCAACGCCTGGGCCAGCCCTTTCCACCGTGGCCCTGGGAACCCTGGCATTACTCACCCAGCAAGGCCTGGAAGAGGTCACTGTGCAGCACTGTGAGAGGGCCGGCGCCCAGCGCAGCAGGGGGGGCAGGAGCCGGCCTGGGGGCTGGAGAGGGCCAGGTGACAGAGCCTAGAGACCAAGCCAGCAAACAGCCGTCAAAGGCCCCGCCACACATGCAGGCCTCCCCTCCAGAGACCCAGTTTTCACCTCTTGGTCTCTGGGACATCTCTCTTCTCTCGCCTTAATCTCCCTAATCCGCCAAGATCGAAGTTGAGCTGCCTTCTCCCTACGCAGCTGTAGGCAAGCAGATCGTGCTTTCCCTCTTCCACAGCCCCCAGGTAGCACACGGCTCCACAGAGGGTGCCTCCCCAAAGCCCGGCGTAACGTACCTCCTTTCCTGAGAGTGGGAAAGAGGGTTTTCTCTAAAGTAGTCCCAGCAGTTTGGAAGAAATTTTAAGCTGAGCCTGACTTTCTTTCCCAGGGTTGACCACAGTGACAGATACAGGAACGGGGTTGGAGTCGGGGTGTGCAGTGACATGGCTCACCGGGTAAAGGAACTTGCTGCCAAGCCTGGCATCAAGGACTCACATAAGCCAGGCATGGTGGTGCACACACCTGTAATCCCAGCACTCGGGGAGGCAGAGGCAGGCGGATCTCTGTGAGTTCGAGGCCAGCCTGGTCTAGAAAGTGAGTACAGGACATCCAGGGCTATAGAGAGAAACCCTGTCTCAAAACAAACAAATAAACAAAAAGACCAGAGACTATTGAAAGCTGTCTGCTAATGAGGGCTTGCTTATGAGAGCGCACACACACGCAAACATTTAGATGAGGCTGGAAAGATGGCTCAGCAATTAAGAGCCTTTGTTGCTCTTATGGAGGACCTGTGTTCAGTGTTCAGCGTCCCCATACATCTATCTGTAACTCCAGTTCCAAGGGATCCAATGCCTCCTCTGACCTCGGTGGGCACCAGGCAGGTACGCCATGTTTGTGAATATGTGGTATACTCATATGCATATTTAAAAGCACAATAAACCCTTTAAACGCTAAAGAAAGGCTTATTGCTCTTCCAGTGGACCTGCGCTCTGTTCCCAGCACCAATGCCAGAGACAGTTGCCTGTAACTCCGGAGGACCACGTTCCCACACACAAAGACACACATAATTAAAATAAATTTCTTGTGACGTCTATGTTTGGAGTTTTTACTTTAACAGGGTCTGTGCGGCCTCAAATTCATGATGACCCTGATTCAGTCTCTCCCAGAGTCCATGAAAGCGATCAGTGGCCCCTACTGCGTGCTTTTAGGAACGTTTTGAGTTGGTGAAAACTCCCAAGACTCAAGTTCGGGAGCGCATTCCAGCTTGAGTCTGCCACCCCATTGCCCTCCATTCGGAAAAGGGGATCATCTTCTGAATAGTTCAGGCCTCTGCACCTGACATTAACCTCACCTCTCCCTGCTAACTTGAGTAGGAAGTCCTCCCCTAGTCCACCTCCATCTCTCGGGCTGTAGTCACTTAAACTCCTCCCCCCTTCCACTCGTCTTATCTCGTCCCCCTTTAGCGGATGAGACTTTAGTGCAGACCGGCGAGTTTGGGGGAGAAAAACAGATCGCTTGGAGATCCATCACTCTAGGTCAATGAGAATACAGGGACCGGGTGAGCGCCGGAACTTCAGCTCCCACCATGCACTGGGACCCGAAAGGCCACGCCCCACCGCGCAGTGCATTGTGGAGCATGAGTCAGGGCCCAGACACACAACCTTTGGGCAGGAGAGAGGAGAGGTCAGCGGTCAAGCCTTCAGCAGCGCTCGGACATGCAGTCAGCTCGGATGGCCCCGGGTGTGGGGGGACAGCTGCTGCGGCTGAGGGCCGGAAGGTCCGTATGTGGCGGGGTACAGCGGGGCTGGGGACCGGGGCAGGACTCAATCCCGACTCCTTACAGCTCGCGATCTGTGCTTCTGCGGCAGCCCCGGCCTACCTCTGCCCAGCGACATTATGCCAGGGAGGCCACTCAGGTAAGTGATCTCGGATGGTGGAGACTGGCACAGAAATGGGAGTTGCCAGCTCACACTAGCCTGCGACCGACAGGGGTCTCTCTCTTGGTCCCAGTCACCCGGTGACAGCTCTGGCAGCAAAAGTAGGGGAAAGGGCAAGCCAGGGTGCCCTAGTGCAAAAAGTAGGGGGAAAGGCAGTTCCTAGAGGCAGCGCTTTGCCATGTTCTCAACACACCTCAAGACCCATCTCCAGCCAATCTATCTGGCCCTTTCCCCAGGCGGTCTTGGATAAGCCAGACACCCTCTCCTCTGATGCTGCCACCAGACAAAGTCCAGCCAAGGTGGTAAGTGACCCAGAAACTGGATGATACTGATGAGGCAGGAGAATCGCCCTAACTGGCCTGAAACCCTGTTCCTCCTTGCCCAGGAATCCAAGTCCTTCGCCGTGGGCATGTTCAAAGGCCAGCTTACCACTGACCAGGTGTTCCCGTACCCGTCTGGTAAGCAAAGGGCTCGTCAGTGGCAGTGTGGGCAGGGGAGCCTCCCTGCCTGACCAGCCTCTTCCTTCCCATCCTGCAGTGCTTGATGGAGAACAGACACAGTTTCTTAAAGAGCTGGTAGGGCCAGTGGCCCGGTTCTTTGAGGTACGGGATGACTGGGGAAGCCCCTCTTGGGGCGGGCAGATGTTGGGGTGCTTGAAGGGTCCTCTGAATGCGGGGGCCTGTTCCTTGCCTAGGAAGTGAACGACCCCGCCAAGAACGACTCCTTGGAGAAGGTGGAGCAGAGCACTCTGCAGGGACTCAAGGAGCTGGGAGCATTTGGTCTGCAAGTGCCCAGTGAGCTGGGTGGTCTGGGCCTCTGCAATACCCAGGTGAGAGGACCCCCTCGTCAATACCCCACATTTCTCTGGCTTTGGCCGCCTCACTACCAGGGCCAAGCAGGTAGGCAGGGGCACCGTCCGCTTGCCCTCCGTCTCCGCTGGGCACACACCTTCCCCTGGATCCACGAGCAGCCCGCCAGGACTGCGGACCCAACCCCTGTTCCCGTGTGGCCCACAGGGTAGTAGGCAGTCTTCCGGTCAAGACCAAGGGCAGCTGGGCATGGCGGCACACACCCAGCACACTGGAGGCAGAGGCAGGCAGATCTCTAAGTCTGCAGCCAGCCTGGTCCACGTACCAAGTTTCCGGCTAGCGGGACCTAGTGAGACTGTCTCAGAAAAACAAAAGATCTAGGACCTCTGATGTCCCTGCTACTGTTACTTTGGGAAAGGATTCCAGGGCCTCATGCATGCTAGGCAGGCACCCTACCCGGAGCTACATGACCAGTCCGCCTGTGCCCTTTATGATGGTGGAGCTTTACTACACTGTCAGAGGGGCCCAGGTCAGGCTCTGCACAGCAGCCGCCACGCTCCTGCCGAAGGCAAGTTTAATGCAGACCCGATGCCTCCTCCCCTGCAGTACGCCCGCCTGGCGGAGATTGTAGGCATGTATGACCTCGGTGTCAGCGTCACCCTGGGAGCTCACCAGAGCATTGGCTTCAAAGGCATCTTGCTCTATGGCACGAAGGCCCAGAAGGAAAAATACCTCCCCAGGGTGGCATCTGGTAAGACACCCTTCTGAGGCCTAGGGCCATCACAGGACTGCCGGGGTAGCACGAGAGGGGCACAATTTTGATGGTCTTCATTCCAGGCAAGCCAGTTCTCTTCCCCACAGGGCAGGCTGTGGCAGCTTTCTGTCTGACAGAGCCCACGAGTGGGTCTGATGCGGCCTCCATCCGGAGCACGGCTGTCCCCAGCCCCTGTGGAAAATACTACACTCTCAATGGAAGCAAGATCTGGATCAGGCAACCTTCCATTTCTTCCCTTCATCCCCATTCCCTGACTTCACTGTGCTGAAGCAGCCAGACTCATCACCTCAATCTTCCACAGTAACGGGGGCCTGGCAGACATCTTCACAGTCTTTGCCAAGACGCCAATTAAAGATGCGGCCACAGGGGCCGTGAAGGAGAAGATCACAGCTTTTGTAGTGGAGAAGAGCTTTGGAGGGGTTAACCCGTGAGTGAGGAAGTGGGCATTGCAGGTCACACTGGGGCCACCCTACTCAGGAGCCACAGGTGGGCACACACAGTGGGGACACAGGGTTGCGGGGTAGAGCCAGAGCTCCAGCCTGCGGGACGCTGCCTGCATCCTCCGTGGACACTTTCCACCTCACCATGAGGACTGGAGCGGCCTCTTGTCCCACCTCAACTAACCTGCCCCCCATTTTCAGGGGTCCCCCCGAGAAGAAGATGGGCATCAAAGCCTCTAACACAACAGCCGTCTACTTCGACGGGGTGAAGGTGCCATCAGAGAATGTGCTAGGACAGGTGGGAGACGGCTTCAAGGTGGCTGTGAACATCCTCAACAACGGGCGCTTTGGGATGGCTGCAACCCTGGCCGGCACCATGAAAGCCGTCATTGCCAAGGCGGTGAGTCCAGGGTCAGGCGGGGATAGCCCGGAACCAGCCTTTGCTCCCGCCCAGCCAGGTGCAGGCCGCAGAACCACAGTGGGCCAACTTTGCCTTCCTTCAGGTTGACCATGCTACTAATCGTACTCAGTTTGGGGACAAAATCCACAACTTTGGGATGATCCAGGAAAAGCTGGCTCGGATGGCTATTCTGCAGTACGTGACTGAGGTATGGGCCTCCTATGCCATCCCTGGAGCCCTGTGGCTTTCTTCACAGCTGGGTCAGACTACAACCCCCAGCAGCACCTGGGGCAGTGGGTCTCCAGCTTTACACCAATGCCCTAGGGGATGCGAGGAGGCATAGTCAGTCAGGCCGGCTTCTGAGCTGCTGCTCTGTTCCACGCTGCCCAGAGGGACCAAACCCCGATCTTGACCCACCCCTCAGAGTCTGAGGCCTGGAAGTCCCGATTTCCCACATCAGAGGGCCAAATACTGATGTGTAACCTGACCAGGGGGTTAAAGTGAATACAGGGCTGTGAGGGAGGTCAGAGCGCATCTTAACTGACCTCAGTGTTTCCCACGCCCACCACACCCCCTCAGTCCATGGCTTACATGCTGAGCGCCAACATGGACCAGGGATTCAAGGACTTCCAGATAGAGGCCGCCATCAGCAAGATCTTTTGCTCGGTGAGGACCCAGGAATGGTGGAAGGGCAGAGCCCAGGTCCAGACCTCGGCCCCAAGCCAGCCTCATGTGGTTGTGTCCTCAGGAGGCAGCCTGGAAGGTGACTGATGAGTGCATCCAGATCATGGGCGGCATGGGCTTCATGAAGGTATGAGGGTGCAGTGCGGCCCTGAGCACGCGAGGCCGAACAGCACAGGCCCTCCCAACAGACTTCTGTCTCCCCCGTGCCAGGAACCCGGGGTAGAGCGTGTGCTCCGGGACATTCGCATCTTCCGTATCTTTGAGGGGACAAACGACATCCTCCGACTGTTTGTGGCGCTGCAGGGCTGCATGGTAAGAGGATGGTCGGGGAGAGGAACTGTGAAGGGCACAGAGTCCTGACTGTCCGACCTCCTCCACAGGACAAAGGGAAGGAACTCACTGGGCTTGGCAATGCCCTGAAGAATCCTCTTGGGAATGTCGGCCTCCTGATAGGAGAGGCGGGCAAACAGCTGAGGCGGTAGGCGCGGGGCCAGGTCGGGGGAAGGCAGGATGGCCCGAAGCCGCTGACCGGCCATCTTCCATCTCCTCCAGGCGCACAGGAATGGGCAGCGGCTTGAGTCTGTCAGGAGTTGTCCACCCAGAGCTAAGCCGCAGCGGTGAACTGGTGAGTGACGTTAGAGCAGAGCCTGCGGCAGTGGGCTGCCTGCCTGTCCTGAGCGCCGGGGCCCTTGTCTCTTCAGGCAGTGCAGGCTCTGGAGCAATTTGCAACCATGGTGGAGGCCAAGCTGATGAAGCACAAGAAAGGCATCGTCAGTGAGTGAGCTCAGGAAACCCCCTTACCTCCTGCTTCGTTCCCTCCCTCATCTTGACAACCCACCCTTATCTACCTGACAGATGAACAGTTCCTGCTGCAGCGGCTGGCGGATGGAGCCATTGACCTCTATGCCATGGTGGTGGTTCTCTCCAGGTGAGAAGGCAGTGGGAAGCTTGGGAGGTGTGGCCACAGAGGAGCTGGGCCACACTCAGCTTACAACTGTCTCAACTTCCTGTCCCCTTCCAGAGCCTCCAGATCCCTGAGTGAGGGCTACCCCACAGCACAGCACGAGAAAATGCTCTGTGATAGCTGGTGCATTGAGGTGAGCCTTGGAGCTGCACAGTCCAGGCGGGCACGTGAGACACAGGCCTGACCCTCTCCTTCCCTCTCCCCAGGCTGCAGCACGGGTCCAAGAAAACATGGCCAGCCTGCAGTCCAAGCCTCAGCAGGAGCTCTTCCGTAACTTCAAAAGCATCTCCAAGGCCATGGTGGAGAGCGGCGGCGTGGTCACCAGCAACCCCCTTAGATTCTGAATACTCCCAGCCAGGCCCTAGCATCGTACTGTGCCTTCTCTTATGCCAAAACACATGCCCCCCTGTGGGGGACTTGGTTCTCCTGTTTCTTCTCTGGAGTACCTACTGCCTTAAGAACAATAAATTTTCTACCAAGTCCTCTTTGCCACTGAACCTGTCTTCTGCAAAGCCTGCTTCCCTCCCGGCCTCCTAACAAGCTACCTCTGCTGCTGCCCTCACAGGACCCTCTGTATGCCTCCCTCAGTCCCTCCTCTCCACTGCCTGCCTCCCGAAGAAAGGAGCCAGAGGCTTGGGGAGTTGGCCTCTATTGCTTTATTTGGTGTTTTATACAAGTAACTAAAATAAATAGAGTAACAAAGGCAGCTTACACAGTCCGGGCAAGTACACCATCCACGTCCTGGGACTGCGCCTGGGGTACCCAGGCTGCCCCTTCCTCTCCCCAGGTACCGTGACTACCACCCGCCCTTCATGTAACAGAAGACGAGGCAACTGGACGGAGGTGGTTCTATTCTGGGGACAGGAGAGACCCAGGACATTTTATATGGAAGAATTTTTCATATAAAAGAGGAAATGTCTATTAAAAATACTCCCCAAAATATAAGAAAGTCTATTTTAACCCCCTCCAAAAGCTTATAAAAAAATAAAGCTAAAATTAACCAAAGATGCCCATGTACCCTGAAGAAGGGGCAGGGCCAGGCCTGCTGGCGACAGTCACAGTGACAGACACCTTTCGGCAGGCGCCAGCCTCTAGGCTGCGCCCAGGCACCATGAGGAGCACCAGCACAGCCCTGACATGGCCTCAAGGCGGCCTACATAACGTCTACAAAGAACTCACTGGGGTTGCCCATGGCCATGTGGAAGCTCTGGCGGCTGGCCGTCAGCTCCGGGGGCACGGAGCCCAGGTCTCTGACAGGAGGGGCACCAGGGGGCTGCACTGCAGTGGAGACCGGGGGCGGTGGCGGGGGCATCATGACCACCATCATGGGGTTGTAGGGGAGGGCCATGCCAGGGGGTGGTGCGTAGGGGTGGAGCCCCGGGAGCGCACGGAGATTCGGAGCACCCCCTGCTGAGCCCCTGGATGGAGGGGGGGCCCCATCGCCAACCCCACCCGAGTCCCCGCCCCGCCGAAGGCTGCCTCCCCGGCTGGAGAGCTCCGACTCACTGCCGCTGCCAGACTTGGACTCGGGGGCCCGTTCCTCAGGCCGCCCTGTGCGCCCTGCGCCCCCATCACTTCTCGTTGACCCACTGCTCCGGCTCCCTGGGGGGCGGGTAAGCAAGGCTCAGCCAGAGCCTCTGGATTCCCCGGCCCTGTCCTGCCTCTCCTCTCCCGTGTGCCCTCCTTCTCTGTACAGAAGGGTCTTACCTTCACTGTGCTGGCTGCTGGCACTGCCGCCACCATAGGTGTAAGAGGACAGCTCATGGTAGGGCGGGGGCTGCGGACTGTAGGGGTGGGAGGCTGGGTACTGGTAGGAGAAGGTAGGCAGCAGGGGCCAGGGGGTCGCTCCAGGAAGAGGAGCCAGGGTATCCTGGTCTGAGGCCCCACTGGAACCATCATTGTCATTCAGAGACAAGTTGACTAGGTCTGGAACAGAGGAAGAGAGGTCCCTGCTTATTACAGAGGCAGGACTCCGGGGTGACACCTGGAACCGGTTCCCCAGAGCCGGCCACCACAGGAAAGCAAAGACACCATGCTGGAAAAGACACAGCCAGGGCCACTATCAGTAGCCAATAATGCTTCCGTGAGACGCATGGCTCTGTGCTCACTCAGGGCCGGCGGGTGGCCACTGCGGGACAGTGTCTAGGCCGGGTCTAGGGTAGAGGCAGGACTCGCCCCCAGGGCCAGGCTGTGACTTACAGCTCTCACAGCCGCCGCTCAGGTCCCCGAAGACGTAGTAGCACTGCTCAGAGAAGGTGATCTTGTTGACCGTGTGGCGGATGAGCCCCGCCTTCAGCAGCCCGCTGGCATACTTCCGGGCCTCCCGGCGCTCGGGAAACCCTTCCACGTGATGGTACAGCCAGTCGACCACGTCTGAGCCTGAGAGCCACCACAGCGCGAAGGTCACATGGCCCTCCCAACCCTGCCCGCGCCACATGCCGCTCCCGGCTTTCTTCTCCTTCCCTCCCCACACCACCCCACTCAGGGTTGGGAAGTACCTAGAAAGGCATTTGGGATGGTGATCTTGAGCCACATGCGGTCCCGGACTTCTAGCCCAGACTCTGGCGCAGCCATTGCCTTGGTGACAGAGGCCATGTCCATGTGAATGGAGAGGCCCCGGCCTTCACAGCCTGACAGAGGAGACAACAGAGAACTCTGGGGTGGCCACGGCCTTGTGACAGAGGCCATGTCCGTGTGAACAGAGAGGCCCCGGCCTTCACAGCCTGACAGAGACAACAGAGAACTGGAGAGAGGCCCACCCGCACAGGGGCAGGGCCAGAGACCCACCGTCAGGCAGGGAGGAGCCAGATGTGATTGTGCTCATAGAAGAGGAGCCTGGGTAGGCCGGGAAGGTGCCAGTCAGCGCGGCGGAGTGTGACACCCAGGCTGCGGGGTCAATCGGCTGGATGGGTTCATCTGGTACAGAGTGAAATAAAATGAACCGAGCACGCTGGCCACCACTCAGCCCGAGCAAACCAGCCCTGCTGCTCCAAAGCTAAGACTCCTGGCACTCTCCCACCCAGACCCTGGACCTCCTGACCCCTCACCTCCCAGCTCCTCTAATCTCCTTCTGTGCTTTTTTGCTTGAGGCAGGGTTTCACTCTGTAGCCCAGGCTGGCCTGGAACTCACTATGTAGCCCAGGTTGGCCTCAAACTTGTGGAGCTCCTGTATTAGCCTGCCGAGTGCCAGGATTACCAGTGTGAGCCACCATGCCCAGGCTCCCCATATCTCTTAGCGTCAGACCTGCCTGAGCATCACTTACTTCGGGGCAGGGTGAAGTAGGCCTGGGGAGAGGGGTCCCAACACTTGGCCACGGTCAGCACGATGGGGCTGTGGGCAGAGAAGACCAGTCAAGCAAGGACAGCGCAGAGGCCTCAGGACCAGAGAAATCAAGGGTGAAGGCTCATAGTGCGGTGACTCAGACTCAGCACATGGCTGAGGTAAACCCACTGCTGAGTGAAACAAGGGAGTACACGCTGTACACTCAATCACAGGAAGCACAAACAGGTAACACTCAACCATCCTGCTCCAGGATTCAGGCATGGGTGGAAAAACCAGGAAAGGTTTTCCTGACCGAAGAAGCCAAAGGGTAATTAGCGCCAGTGAGGAGGGTGGGAGTGAGCGGGAGCCAGCGGGGAGGGTGGGAGTGGGCGGGAGCACAGCAGTGGCTTTCCTGAGGTTTAGGCTGGATGGCATGCATAGCCACGGAGGTTTCTGATTTTACTTTGTTCTGTGTTGTTCTGAGACAGGGTCTCACTGTGGAGACCTGGCTGATCTGGAACTCGCTATGTAGGCCGTGCTGCTTCATGCTTGGCCTCGAGCACACCACCATGCCTGGCCTCACATTAGAATGGTGAAATGACACTGAGGGGACTTAGGAGCGAGGGCCGAGGCTAGGGCGGCGCTCACCCGGGCTTGTGAACGATGTCTCTCAGCACCCGCACAGCATCGTCGTTGCTCATGTTCTCAAAGTTCATGTCATTCACCTGGGAGGGCAGAGCTGGTCAGGGCGGCGTGGGGGCGGGGCCCAGCCTGGGCAGCAGCCGGCTCCGGGCTTACCTGCAGAAGCATGTCTCCAGGCTCGATGCGGCCGTCGGCAGCCACAGCGCCGCCCTTCATGATGGAGCCAATGTAGATGCCGCCATCACCCCGCTCATTGCTCTGGCCCACGATGGAGATGCCCAGGAAGTTGTACTTCTCTGGAGAGGCCACGAGAGAACTAAGCCCCAGGAGCTCCAGAGGCCCTGTCCCCCCTCCCTGCCAGGGCCCTCCGTACCCATGTTGAGCGTGACTGTGATGATGTTGAGGGACATGGTGGAGTCAGTGACGCTGCTGAAGGAGGAGGTCTGCGGCAGGGAGAGGGAAGGGGTGAGCAACCCCAACCACAGACAACCCGGCCCCAAGGCCCCACCTCCCTGAGAAGAATCCTCACCCTCTCCATCCGTGGTGGCCGCTGCTTCCTTCGCCTCCGGTGGCGCTTGAGGAGGCGGGAGGCACTGCTCTGCTCCGTGGAGCTGCTGAACCTGACCACAATTGACAAAGAGGAGCTCAGAGATGACAACAGTGCTGGCTAGGGAGGAGGGAGAAGGATGCGGGGAGGATGGAGGAAGATGAGGAGATGCAGGAGGAGGATGTGGGAGGATGGAGGAGGATGCGTCCGGTCATACCTGCTCATGGTGTCATCCTCATCTGAGTCTCCTAGGCTGGTGCTCTCCAGCTCGCTGGTAAGGAGGGTGGAGGAGCTCTCGTAGCCAGCCAGGTGGCGCTCTAGCCTCGAGGGGCCACCAGGCCTATGGCCAGCAGCTGTGTGTGAACAGACTCTCAGAACATGCTGAGGCTTGTCCCCTTTCCCAGCCTCCTGTCTCCCCGCCTCAGGCGCGTCCACTCACCGCCATGTTCACTGCTGTCTCTCCTTCGAGGGCGTTCCCGTCTGACGGACACGACAGACTCGGTTTCTGTCTCAGGCTCTAGATTTTCATGGCTACTGGACACATTAGGGCTACACAGGTAGAGACAGTTCCCCACGGGTGTCAGGGCACAGCGCCAAAATCCTCAGTCTCCCCTCGTAGGGTTGGGCTGGATCCCGCTTCTCTGCCCTCCCATCGACTCACTGGAAGGATGGTGGCCTCGAGTCCCCAATGCCACTGGTCCTTTCTGGTGGCAGAGGGGGTAATGGCGGAGGTGCGGGGACCTCATGGGCCGGGGGAGCCGCCTCAGGCTGAGGGTTCTCTGACGACACTAGCTAGAGGAGTGCAAGTAGGGAAACATGGCTCCAGTGCACAGCAGTTTAAGAGAAAAGACAAGGAAAGGGCCAGAAAGGGGACCAGGTCCCAGAACCCGCGGAAAAGTCCAGAAAAAGCAGCGAGTACGGGAGGCTACAGAGGAGAAGGCTGAGGAATGCTCACAGCTTCCACAAGCTGGGGAGGGGGGGGCAGTCTGCAGCTGGAAGTGCCTTGGTGACGCGTCCCCTTACCCAAGAGACGACCCTTCCATTGAAGCACGGCAGGCGGGCACTGTCGTCTGAGATCTCTTCCTTCACCACCCTTCAAGAGAGCACAGCGACTAGTGAGATGCCAGCTGTGACAATGCAATTCCAACCCTTGGGAGGCCGAGGCAGAAGGAGCTCAGCACACTGGAAAGCCAGCCAGTCACGCACATACACGCACACACGGCGGATCTCTAAGTTTGAGGTTAGCCTAGTTTACAGCCAGGGCTACACAGAGAAACCCTGTCTTGAAAAAAGAGGGGGGGGGTGAGGAAGACTAAACTAATCACTCCCACCCCGAATCTGAAGTCTCCCCAGCCTCCATGTTTAAAATGGATGTATGTTCACGTCTGTGCGCACGGCTGTCACGAGGGCGCTTGTGGGGGACAGAAGGTATCAGATCTCAGGAGCTGGGAGAAGAGGTCCATGCCCTCAGATCCTCCAAGCCAACTCTCCAGACCCAACCTGTTAACAAGGGGGAGGACGCCGTCATTTTGTATCCTTGGCTAGCCTCAAGCTCACCGAGACCTGCCTGCCTCTGCCTCTTGACATTAATAGCATACACCACCAAACCTGGCTTTGCCAGTGCCCAGCAGGCACCAGCATTGTGACAGCATTCATCTGCTGTCACAATGAAACAAACTATCTGCTTTCACATAAAAAAACAAAAACAAGTAACAACCCACTTCCAGACTCTCCTTACTCTATCCCTGCTCCAGACTCCTTCACACTTGATGGAAACTTTCAAAGACTGTCCAGGACAGTTCCCCAGCAGCTCCAAATAGCTTCCCTAGCAGCCCTGCTTGCTCTGTCCTGCACGTCTGTCCCACAAAAGCGCCAGGTCCTTTTTGTTCTAATTCACAGACAGACTTGTGGCCTGTGCTGGGTAACAATGCCCTTAAATGCAACTGTAACACTCCACTCAGGAAAGCTCCCACAGCAGAGGAAGCTGGGCTTCCCACTGTCTCACCTCACTTCTGCTCAGCCTGAAAAATGCCTAGGCTGCAGTGGCCACGGGTCCTTCTTGATGCCCACAAGTCATCAGCACTGTCCTGCACGACACGTGTCCTGGGTGAGCACTGCCCTGACACTCAGTAAGTAAACAGGTGCTGACGAGCCATTCTTTCTCACACACGATACCTCGTCAGGCCTGGAGAGCTGGCGCATCGGCTAAGGGCACTTACTGTTCTTGCCGAAGCCCCAGGTTCAGTTCCCAGCACCCACCTGCTGGCTCACAACCGTATCTCCAGTCCAGGGGATCTGACTGTCTCTAACCTTCACAGACATCAGGCATGCACACAGCGCACATAAACACATGAACGCAGGCGAAACACTCACGTACATAAAAATTTAAAAGTCTAAGAAAGAAAAATACGCCTTCCTGTGTGATTAACTCTAGCCTAACATAGTCTGGGGGCCTTGGGTATAAGCCTCAAGGATACACCTTGCAGCACACTGTAAGTCTCCCAGCACAACCAACCTCAGCATGGCGTGGTCGCCCCCAAAACAAACAATTTTGCATCACTATAATCTATTCTCTGCACTAGTAAGCCTCACTACTAAATGAAAACTACCAGCCGCCAGGGATTTACTGTGTGTTACCGCCTAAATCAACCACCTTACACCATGATCATCACCACGCCACAGACGAAATCAAAGCACAAAAGCTAACTAAATTGCCCAAAATTATAATGCGAAAGAAGAACCTTGACTTAAACCCAAGGTAACTCCATAGATAGTATCACTTTCTCCACGTCGGACAGTCTTTGACGAGAGTCCAGTTTGTTCAGTTCTGGCGGATGGAGGTGTCCAACCACAGGGGTTTTCACCGATGGCAGGTGACCTCTGTGATCTTTTTCTCCCCAGTACCCTGCTATCCCTGCTTATGCCAACCCAGGACACAGAAGGCTCAGTCTCAACAACTGCAAAAACTGCCTCATTACTCTGCCAAACTGACAGTCCCAGTCCAGCCCAGATGACCCCAGAACAAGCCACTCTATTCTAGCCCCGCCCCCGTCTCACACTCTGCAGTGCCCCACGCCCTGTGCGTACTGGCACCCCCCAAGTTGTTCCTACTTGTCGCTGTCTTTTGACCTAAGAAACCCAGGTTTCGGGAGACCAACAAAGCTAAAGGATCTGAACACGGGGTCCCGCAGAGACTGATGCATCAACCTAGGACGGTGCATGGAGAGAACCTAGACGCCCTGCTCAGATGTAGCCGATCCGCAGCTCAGTCTCCATGTGGGTTCCTGAGCGAGGGGAACAGGGGCTGCCTCTGATATGAACTCGGCTGCCTGCTCTTGGAGCACTTGCTCCTGGCGATGCAGCCTCACCAGGCCACGGAGGAAGAGGATCCAGGCAGTCCTGACAAGGCTTGACAAGCTACCGGCAGACGGCAGAGGAGAGCGCCCCCTTTCGGTGGACTAGGGGAAGGGGATGGGGGGGCAGGGAGGGAGGGTGGGGCTGGGCGGAGTTGAGGGAGAGGCTTCAATCAGGGTATATAATGAAGGAATTATGAAAAAAGAAGAAGGAAAGAAAACCGGGCCTGGGGCAGGCATGCTGTCACCCTTACCTGACCCGGCACTCAGGCTGCGGATGCTGAGGCTGTCACAGGTGCAAGGCAAGCTGCTCTACTTTTCCAGTTCTAGAAGACCCTGGCCCTGCACTTCAGCGCGCTGCTGCTCTTCCGGAGGACTAGAGCTCAATCCCCAGCACCCACAGGGTGGCCCACACTCCTAACTCCAGTCCCCAGAGATCTTTGGGTTTCTTTGAGCACCGTGTGCTTGTGGTGCAGAGACAAGCATGCATGCAGAACACCCACACACAGAGCACCTTTTCTTTACCTGCTTGTTTGGCTTTTCAAGACAGTTTTCTCTGAGTAGCCCTAGCTGACCTGGAACTAGCTCTGTAGATCAGGCTGGCCTTGAACCCAGAGATCTGCCTGCCTCTGCCTCCCAAGTGCTGGGGATTAAAGGCGTGCCACTTAAAACATCTTAAAAACAAAAACAAAACCCTCCAACTCTCCCCTCCCTGGCCAAAAAGGGAGGAGGGTAGAGAAAATAAGAACTCAGTGGAACTCAGAAGTGTGCAAGCTTTGCCAGAAAAAAAATTTATTTCAAAACTGCCTAAAATATCCCAATAGGGCCCCTCTACATGATCACGGATTGCACCGTCCCAAAACAGTGATACTACGGGACCTAACGAATAAGCCCAAAGAGCCTCTCCACAGCCCAGTCTGTAGGAAGACACTGCATGCCCAGCATGCTGGCTCACGCTGGTTTAGCCCCGCTCTGGAGGCTGAGGCCCCACACGAGCTCCAAGCCAGCCTAGGATACAGAGAATGAAGCCCTGTCTCAAAACAAAAGAACAAATCAAAACAAGCAGACAGCAACAACAACAAAATTTACAGAATAGTCCTCAATAGCCAGCGTGAAGATGCCTGAGAGAAGACCAGACTGCCAACAGATAGGTGGGAATCTGATCGCGGCACAGACTCGACTATCAAGCACGGCTTGAGCCTTCGGGTTAAAATCAAGGAGAGAGAGTGGAAACACACCAGTGTTCCCCATTGTCCAACCTAACATTCTCGCCTCCGGTTTGCTCACGTTCTGGTCAAGTTCCGTGTCTGCTCAGACGAGATCTACCCCCGCCCAGCACAACACGCTACGCTCCACTACAGGCCAGAAACGCTGCAAGCTCGAGCGGTGCCCCTCATGTCGCCCCAACCACGCGCAGCGCCCTTACCAGCCTAGGCCTCGCGCTTACCCAAAATCCTGATCCATGGACTTGAAAAAGTACTTGGCGCCCGCGGGCCGCTGCAGGACGCTCTTGAAGTCGCCCAGAGTGATGCGCTCGGCCGGGACGGGGATCTTCACCAGGTACGGAGTCTCCTCCTCGTCCAGATGGTAGATCACCTTCGTCTCGCCCACAGCGCCGCCCCCCGCGCCGCTGCCCGCCATGGTCTCGCTCGCGCGCTCCCAGGCTCAGCCGCCCACCCCACGGGACCAAGCGCCCCGCCGCGCCTGCGCACAGCCGCCAACCGACGCGCGAGCGCCGCCGCGGCGGGCCCAGCGCGGGCGGCGCGCCGGGGAGGACGGCGTGGGGCGGCGGCGTGGGCGCGAAGGGCCGCGGCGCGGAGCCCCCACTCCCGAGCGCACGGCCGAGGGCCACCGCCGCCGCGATCGCTCTCCGGGTCCCCGCCCACCTCTCCCCACGCCACGTGACCCGAGCCCGCCCACTTTGCGCAGCCAACTGTCCCTCACGTGACTTCCCTGGGTCACGTTACCACGAGCTCCGTCTAGAGCCTCACGTGACCGCAGCCTTGAGCAACGGTCTCCAGCCCCACAGGACCCCGCCCCCGAGCGTGGACACCCGCAGGCACCGTGACCAGCGGGGCTCTTAGAATGCCGGCAGCTGGCTCCCACTTGGCTTCGCCCACGTCAAAAGCTCCTCAGCTGCAACCACTGGGGGGTGGAGGGACCACGGGGCCAGGCACTGATCAGCTTCAAAAAAGGGGTCTCAAGTCGTCCTTGCTAGCCTCAGCCCCTGAATTTTCCCTCTCCTCCCAAGTCGTGGGTCTACAGCCCTGGACCTTAAGAATGGGTTTCAGCCCCGACACCAGCAGCAAGGCTCTGGCCAGGTTTCCCAAAGATCCCCTCCCGAAACAGGACACCGGGGGCTGTAAAACACAAGAGCCCACTCTGCTTTATTTACAACACGGAGGCTGACCGTACAAGCCAGCCAGTATTATTAAAAACAAGGCGAGTGGTAACTGACACCTTTCTGCTTTCCTTCCTCACTTGCTCCACCAGGCTATGATACCCCACCTTTGAGCAACCACACTCAAACCGGGGAGCCCCGAATTAAGAATACAACCGGTGTAGAAGAAAGTAAAAGGGAGTGAAAGAGAAAAAACATGAGGGGAGCGCTGTATTTACACTACAACTTTATAGACAACTATCCCGTTACGGGCCAGTTTGAGCCTGGCCGCCAAAGCGAAAAGGGCGGCAGGCTCACTGGACAGAGACTTCGTCTACAGATCCAGCCTCCCCTGACCCTGTAATGGGTCAGTTTCAAGTCCGCAGAGCAGGAAGGACAGAAGACACTCATTTCCTAGCGAGTCTGTCTCCCTCGGGAATTCCGGCCCTCAGGTGGGGACAGCCTCCTCAATCCAAGGAAGGGAGACTCAGATTCCCAAGTAATGTCAGAAGTTCCAGCCTCAACAGGGACTTCAGGGTTCTCCAGGCTTGGGAAGAGCCCCTAGCCGCCTGGCCTCCGGCCGAAGTTCCTTGCATTTCTGGCAATAGAAGAAGTCGGGAACGTTGGTCTTCTTGATCTTAGCACAGGAGAGGTGGATCCACGTCCCGCACAGGCTGCACTCGATCATAGGCCGCCCAGCAAAGGGCTTTCTGCAGTAACATGTGATCAGGTCCCACGAGTCATCGCCTGGAAAGGACAAAGTGTGGTTGGAGCTCTGCTTGGAGGCCTGGCTTGGGATAGCCCAGACACCCACCATCCCGGCTCCCTGCCCTGGGCAGCCCTCAGCGCCACACCTGATTCTACCATGATGTCCTCATCCATGACCCTCATCTCGCCCTCGCTGGAGCTGCCGTCTCCATCCTGGCTAGTTTCTGTGCTGCCCACATCCCGGCCTTCACGGTCAGCAGGAGGAGCGCCTTCCGGGTGCACTGCAACGGGGGGCCTGGGGGCTTCAGGGGGTGTTGGCAGCACAGGGGCTGGGACCCCACCCCCCACAACGGCTGTCATTTCTTCCTCCTCCTCCTCTTCCTCCTCCTCCTCCTCTTCAGAGTCTGTGTCACTGGGAGGAGCCCGAGGAGGCCCGGGAGGCGGGAGCCTATCCCCCCTATCTGCCTTTTTCAACTTCCGCTTCTTGCTCTTCTTGATTCGAGACCGTTTTTCCCCATCCCCAGGGGCTGGCCTCGGCCTCCGAAGCACCCCAAAGCCTGCCCCACCGCCTGGTCCCAACTTTCTGTTCTTTCGGTCCTTCTTTCGCGGCTGGGAGAGGTCCCCCTGGGAACGCGGCACTGGGGTGAGAGCAGCGGGGGGCCGGGAGGCGTGCGTCAGGGGCGTGGGAGACAGCGGCGACGACACTCTGGGCCCGTCCAGGTCAAACAGAGAGTCCTTAAGCTTCATCTTCTCCAGCAGAGTGGCACTGTCAGGGGCCTGCAGGCGAGAAAAAGCGGACCTTGGGGGTCCCGGCTGGGGAGGACCTGCTTGAGCTGCCCTTCTCTTTGAAGACTTTGCTTTCTTAACAAAAGTCTGGATAGTTCGAAGGTCCGAGGGGGCCGAGTCCCAGCCATCACTGTCTGCTGCACTCTCGCCTCGCAATGGAGAGCTAGAGCCAGAGGCTGGCCAACTGCTTTCCTTAAAAGAGGGAAGAGTAGGGTCAGCAGGGGCCCAGCCACACATCCAGCATGAAAACCAGGACCCAGAAACATCCCAACCCCACACCTGACAGCACTCTCAGGCTGCCTTCCCCCCACCCTCCTCCCCGGTGCTCCACCAGGCCAGAACTGGACTTCCTTGACTGTGTTTCTGCACCTCATGCCGCCCCTCACACCAGCTTTCCCACCCGAGAGCCTCCGGTTCCCTCAGTCTCGATGGCCCTGGGGCAGAATCTTCCTATAAAGCAACTCACTCCTTCTAGTCAGTCACTGTTCCGTGCCCTACCTCTTTGCTGGGAGGGATGTAACCAGCATAGGCCAAGACAAAACTGCAGAATTTGTTGAAATCCTCAATTGTTCTCCGTCGTTTCTCTGGTGGCTACAAGGAAACAGAAACGTGATCACACGGAAGCCAGGCGCAAACGTTAGAGGGGCATCTCCAAAACAGCCCCCAAGATGTCAGGCCGTGTGAAAGGGTCGATGGGACGGCTCACCTGGGTCTCCGGCTTAAGAGTTGGAGGCGGATCTGTGAAATCAATAAAAGCTGAGTCAAGGCACTGGGAGAGTCCGTAAAATCCTCCCTCTAAACCCCGGAGGTCCCAACCTAATATCCCATCCTCTGTTAGGTCGCCGGCCTCGGCGGCCGGCCCCCGGCTCGACCGGACCCGCCCCTGCTCCCCCTTCCGCCCCGAGGGGCGGAGCCTGGGCGCGGCGCCCTCGGCGGCCTCGCTATAGCGCTCCCCTTCCCCCAACCCCGGCGCCCCGCCCCCTCCCAGCGTCTCCAGTCAACTCGGCTCTCCCGGCGCCCCACCCCGCCATAGCGCTCCCGGGGCGAGCGCAGGCCACCGCCCGCCCCCGTCCTTCACGCGCGCCCGGAGTTCCCACCCGGCCGCGCTCCGCCGCCCTGCGCCCTCCGGGAGCGCCCATGCCGTCCGGCCGCCCGCCCCGGGGCCCAGGCTGACCGCGCCGAGGTGCTCCCCGCCCTCCGGCCCTTCCACTCGAACACGCGGCCGGGCGCGCCCCTCACCCCCACCCAAAACACACGCGCACGGGCGCCCGGTCCCGACGCCACTTCGCGGCCGGGACGGGCGGAGAGCCGCAGCCCGGACACCGGGGCCCCTGCCCCCCCAGCCCGCGGCCGCGCTCCCCACGATCTCGCCGTCCCTCCGCCCCCATCCGGGCCTTTGGCCCCTCCCCGTCTCGAGCTCTCCGGGCTCCCCGCCGGGCCCCCGGGCCCAGTTCCGAGCGTCTCCGGCCGCCCCCCTCCCGCCCCCGGACTCGGCGAGCCCCTTAGGCCACGGACCCTGAAACTCCAGCCTCGAGTCCCCGTCCAGGGACCCCACAGAAGGCCCTCCGCCGCGTCCCCCTCCCACAATCCGCCCCACAACCCGCAAGCCCCTGCCCCAGCCGACCCACCCCCCCCCCCCGCAAGTTGCCGGTCTTAACCCCCCAGCTCGCCCCGCCGCCCCGCCGAGTACCGGGCCGGCCTCGCTTCCCAGTTACTGGCCACAACCAGCCCTCAGCCCCGGGCTCCGTACCGGAGACAATACCCAGACCCTCTCCCGTCCCCGCAAGTACACCGCCAGCCCTGAACAATCACCAGGCTCGCCCCGGCGGCAACTCCGCGGCCGCCGTCACCAACTCCCCCACCGCGGCCAACTCCCGGGCCCCTCGGCCGGTCCTCTTCGTGCTCGCTCAACTACTCTCCGGCAGATCCCCCCAGCCCCTCCGCGTCCGAGCGCCAACCGGCCCCAGGCCTTTCCAGCCCCCCGCCCCGAAGCCAGGCGCCCAGCGCCCAGCCCCGGACACCCCAGCACCACCATCCACACCGCGCCCGGGGTCCGACCTCCCCGAGCCGGCTCCCGCTCCTCTTTCTCCAAGGCACCTCAACTCCGCGCTCTCCCAGCGCAAGAGCCAGGCCCCCGGCCCCTGCTCCCGCACTCCCCCGCGGGGTGCCGGCGCCCGACCTCCAACTTTGCCGACTGAACCCTCACCCGCTCGCTGCCCTCCGCGCCTACGGAGCGCTTACCTTCGGGACTGGGCTCCGCCATGGCTTCCAGCATCGCCCCCTCCCCTCCACCCGGTCCGCCGACCCCCTCCTCGAAACCGGGATCCCCGGTGCTGCCTCGGGTGCTCCGTGGTTCTCCTGCCTCGCTCCACCGAAGCGTCCGCCTTGGCGCGGTTGAGACTCCAGTCCGCTACCGCCACCTCCCTCTACCACTGCCTCCCGCACTCCCGGACCGGGCCCCCTCCCCCCGCACCGCCGGCCGCCTGCTCCCTCCTCCTCCTCCTCCCTCCCTTCTCCCCCTCCCCGCCGGCTCCGTCGCGCAGTGCACCAAGGGATTTGTAGTCTGTGCAGGGGCAGCGGAAAGGGGACTGCAAGAGCCTCCGGAACTCCAGTTCCCAGGAAGCCACGGGCTGGCGCAGGCGCAGTAAACAGCTTTCCCCACCAGGGGAGTGGCGGGGAGATCCGGAGCCAGAGGGGTAGAGCGGAAGAGTGCACACTGGCTCCCGGGAAGTGTAGGCTGGGCGGGACCAACAAAGTAGATGAAGAAGGGATTAGAACTCTCGGCCACCATACTGCCTCATTTTGTACTATCTTTTTACCCCGTCAGGGAACCGCCCCACTTCCGGCCAGGAGGAGAAATGTATGCTGGGAGGTGAAGTTCTCCTACTATTCGCCCTCTCACATTCCTCTTTACAGGATCCCATACACTGGCACAAACTCTGAAAGTGACAGCCAGTTAAAGACTGACCTTTTACCACCTCCCCAACAGGAACGTCTCTTCTTTAACGCAAAGCAACAACTTTGGATACGCTTACCTAAACATGGCACTTTGAACTTTCTCCTAAAGACCCCACAACCCTTTTGTTTATATTACACCCCGAAGCACACATGTAAAATGAAAGTCTCGTGAGATAATGCTCACATTATTCCACTCATCAAGAATTCAAACGAAAACCCACCCCTTTCTAGAGAAAAACAGAAACCAACAAAGTGTTTCTCTTTCTCTGATCTACACCTCCTTCCTTCTTCTTTCCCACCACTTAAGTTCAGGATCTTCAGTCCTTGAAACGCACGGACGAAGGAGGTGGAACGACACAGGGCAAGTTCAATTCAGCTCGGTGGTTTCTTCTTTATTGGTGTGCCTCCCCTTCCCTCCCCCCATGTCAACCCCTTCCATCTACCCCACCAAAAAGAAGGCAGTGAGAGGAAGGGACTGTGGGGTCCTGAGCCCAGTGGGCAGTTAGAAAGGGAACAGAAACCAATCAATCAGATGTGACAGAGACCGACAATCAGAAGTGTAAAGCGGAGTGGGAACAGGGCAAATGGGGAGGAGATGTACAGAAGCTGGGTCTGCCATCGCCCCTCTCGGGAGAGGTCTGGAGAGACAGCCTCAAACATTAAGTGCAGGTCCTGAAGAAAGGAGATGGTGTTTTCGACTGAAGGAGGAAGCGGATGTCAAGGAAGGAGAGCCACCTCTCTTTGTAGAATGGGGCCCCCACCTCAGGTACAGCAGCTTCACAGACCGTAGACGCTTTCATCACTGTAGGCAATGTATAGAAAGAAGTCTTCTTCATGGTGTTCCTGAAGTAAAAGCAAAAGAGGCTGTTACAGCGACTCGTGCTTAGTTACGAGAGCTATTTACCAAGACATTCCTCAAGGCTCATTCTCTTAAGCATGGCCTGGAAAGGGCTGAAACTTCAAGGCCACCAAGGTAAGTTAAGAACCTGACTCGAAATGGACTTGAAGCTATACCACCCAGAAAGTACCTACCTAGCAACTGTACAAAGGGAAACAAGAACAGGCATTCAGCTGGGCAGTGGCGGTGCACCTCTTTAATCCCATTGCTTGAGGTGGGGGCAGGAGAATCTCTGTGCTAGCCTGCTCCACAGACAGAGTTCCAGGGCTACACGTTTAAACCCAATGGGTTTCTCATTCTGATTTTCTCTCTCTCCTTTACGAGATGCTGACCTTAAACTCACTATATAACCAGTGGTTTCCAACTCAAGACACTACTGTCTCAGCCTCTCAAGTGGTTATTTGCTTACTTTCGGTAAGTGTGTTTGGTTCTTTAGTTTTTGTTTTTGAGACAGGGTCTCCCTATATCTCTGACTCACCAGGAGAGCCTCAGACTCCCAAGGGATTCCTAGCCTCTGCCTCCTGAGTGATGGGGTTAAAACCATGTGGAGAAGCAGCCGTGCTTGACTGAGACCAGCCTCGGCCTCCTGAGGAGGAACAGAACTAAAGCTGTGCACCACCTGCAGCTGCTATGCAAGGTAGGGCCTTCCACCCTTTTAATCCCAGCCCTCAGAGAGGCAGAAGTTGGAAGATCTGAGGCCAGCCTGGCCTACAGAACACTTCCAAAAGAGCCAGGGCTACACAGAGAAACCCTGTCTCAGAAAACAAAACAAAACTCTCAAACTGTGCTCTGACATCCTGGATGAGGGAAAGGAGTTTGGGAAAAAAAAGAATCTCAGTCAAAACAAGTCTTTGAGCTCAGGCTCTTCTCTCCATCCGAGCGCACACTGCTGCTAAAATCCCAACCTGCTGCAAGCTGACACCGTAAATCTAGTAAGCCAGCTACCACAGGAACCTCTGACCTATACTTCCCTGCATTCAAGCCGCCCGCTCTCCAAACACCCCATGACTTCCAAGGTACTGGGTACCTGGTACAGCTGCCCCATCGTGGCACTGGTGGGCGGGATGACGTTGTTGACAAAGAAGAACAAGGCATCCTCAGCGCGGAGATGAATCCGCTTCCGGATCAAGAAGTAGAACTGACCAACTGCCAGAAACGGGATGCAAGAGCGTCATGGAGGCCATCGGTGCCTCCAGAAAACAGCTGCAGCTGAAGCCTCCTCCCACAGACATGGCGTGCCCACCCACGAAAGGAAGAGTGCCTCTTGGGTCAAGCTCCCACCTGTAAGATCAGAAGGCACCAGGTATTTCTTCTTGTCCAGATCTCCTATCCGAGCTTTGGGAGCTTTTTCCACTATCACCTGAGGAAAGGAAGGTAAGAAGGAGAAGACACAAAGAACGCAGTACCTCAAGGAAGAACTCAAGGCACAGTATTCCCCGTACTGAAATCTCCTGCAATCTCATTCCTCCTCATCCTCATGCACACCGCACTGAGTCCAGAGATCCTGGCCTCACTGGCCCACCTAAATACTGAGAACTGATCCCAGAACGGCGCATCACAATAAGTATTTTCATCAGAGAAACGGGATAACTTGTTTGGGTCAAGATCGACCTTAAATCGAGCTAGCTGGGAGGCCGGCCCTGGAAACCCTGCTGTAAAGCTCCCCAAAGGCCTCCATCCTGGCAAATGCCAAGGTCTCTCTACTGTCCACACCTCAGTCCCAGCTCTGCTTCTACAGCCTTCTCAGCCCTGGTGCCAGAGACAACAGGCTCGGACTTGTGACCCCACGGCGGGCTGGAACCTGACCTCCGCTGCCCCAGACTCAAGCCTAGCTTGTGGCGACAGCGTCAGCAGGCTCGGCCCCGGCTACTGCCCTTACCGGGACCCGGTCTGGATATTTCTTTCGGATTTTCTCGCCCTCAGAGCGGCGCTTCTCGAACGGATGCTCCTCTTTGTACACGAACTTCATTCTCCCGAGAACCGGGCTGGACCGAGCTGGGCTGAGGGAACCCAGGGGGGGGGGCCGGGACAGGGGGCGGCGGCGGAGGCGGCTTCGACGAACAGACTCTGCGGAGCGATCCACGAATTTGCGCCACTTCCCTATTCACCAACCCCGCCCCCGACCGTCGGGAGCGGCCCCGCCCGCGGACTTACGCCACTCACTCGGCTCGCTACCGCCGCCGGCGTAGCGCCGCGCAGCCCGGCCCTCTTACGCCGTCAGCGTAACCGCTTTGGAATCAGCGTGTGGGTTACGCGGCTGACGTCGCGGAGGAGCCTGCTGTGCCTTTACGTTGACTGAAAACCCTTTCCCCTGGGAGCCCGCAGGACGAGGCTGAGGACGAAATGGGATGGCAAGTGACCGTCATGAGACTCGGTCCCCCAGTTCTTTTCGGAAATTACGTTGGATAAAGCAGAAAAAAATTACAAGTCTGGGTATTCACGAAAGGTGTTGCTACGCTGAAGGCGGCCGTTGACACCAAAACAAAGTAGTACCCACGCTGCCGAGGCAGACGCCGTCAGACAGACAGCGACGAGGGCCGCAGACGCGCCCAGGGCGCCCAGGGCTCGCGGTGTGTGGACCAATAGGAATTGCAGAGGTCCAAAGGACAGGGACTACGGCGGGGCGGAGGAACACGTCTGAAGGGTGTAGTTACAATCATGTGACCTCAGGAAAGGGCGGAGCATCGCGTGGCGGGTGTAGGAAGTAGGCCCGGCTCTGGAGAGGCGGCGCCAGGAAAGAGGGGTCCGCCCCAGCTTGCTGCTGGAGCGCCAACAGCCTCGGGCAGCGCCCTCGGTAGCCTGTCCACGTCAACCTCCCAGACCAAGCGGCTGTTCTCCGGCGGTAGGCCCTTTGAGGGATCCACACCGCTCTTGTTCAGCCTTCTATATCCTCCTCTGAAGTGTGCTCCTCCACTACCTCAGGGCCCATCCCCTCACTGGGGGCCTTTCCCGCTACTGAATCCACAACTCCAAATAGCATCTGCCCTCTTCACGGCAGGGCAGATGTAAGCAAAGTTTCCTCCACTTCCAAAAAACATCAGAGAAGGACCTAGGGCAGCTTTGGTTTCAAAGTTATAATGCACGGTTTAAAAGAGGAAGAGAACGGAGCTGATTACAGGTATCAGGGGATTGGGAAAAGAAAAATGAGGAAAATCAAGGGAAGGACAAGTCTGAGGAAGCCCCAGTGGCCCAGCATCCCAGTCTCCCACCCACAGCCCTTGGAGCAGGAGTGAAGAATTAGATCAGTTTTGTACAAGAGTTTTTAAAAAATCAAATCACAACAAAGTTGACTTGGCTTCTTTTGAGCCTCTGGGATATGTCTGTCACTCTGGCCAGTCCTGCCTCTCCACCAGACAGTTTGAGTTCTCCAAGGCCTTGGCCTGTCCCAGTCTGGCACTTGTATGGAGTGTCAACACGAACAGTGAGGCTGCCTAAGTCTGGCCCATGTGTCCATCCGGACTCCGGAAGTGTAGGGCTCCCAGGGCAGGGGGAGTCCTCACATTGGACAGGGCAACAGGCGGCATCCGAGTTCTCCCTCCCCTCCCCCCACCCAACTCAGGTGGAGGGGGGGCAGCTGTCACCAGAGCCTGTGTTGATGAAGGTTTCTGCTCAGCACAGAACGGACATCAGCAGTGAACCTGGAAGGACAGTGACATGAATGAGTGGGATACCTTACAGCTGGTCCCTCAGCTCTAGCACAGTGGAGTCTCGTGGACAGCAATGGCAGAACTCAACACCACCTTCACACAGTGACAGGCGCAATTCACAGAAGCCAAGTGACTAAAAACAACGCGCTCTGGAGGGAGAAGTCCTGGCCAAACGCTTGAGGATCCCGCCCCCTCTTTTCCTTGGCAACCCAAGTGTTGCCAGATACGGCGGTGTGCACCTGTAGTCCCAGCACTTGAGAAGCTAAAACAGGAAGCAAGTTCCAAGCAAGCCAGAATGGACTACAGAAAAAGAATTTGTCTCAAAAAGAAAAAAAGGACCAAAAAGGACCTAAAGGTCCCTCGCTTTACCTGAGGGCGTCCAGCATTGGGAGAAGGTTGAGAAGGGCTGTGTCACTGGGGTCACTGAACCAGGATTTGATGGGGATGGCATTGTCTAGGTGAGTAAAATTACAGTTGAGAAGAGGCGAAGAACTCAAGATAGCCTGCGAGTTTTTCCTGAATATTATTAACAAAAACCCATACGCTTTACCCACCAAAAGTCACCAACCAGCAAAACAAAACCCTGACTTGTCCTCAAATGTTACCCTGAATCGACAGCTCTCACAGCAGTGTGGCCAGAGTTCTGGCCACCTGCCACTGTGAGGGCATTGACAGGGAAGTACCCTTTATAAAATGGACATGAAAGAGTGGACATCTCATTTGAAATAGACAACTGACATTCAGATCTGTAGTACAGTAGGGACTCCAAACTCTGGGACGGCTCAGGTCTTTTGCCTCCTAGCTCTTTGCATTCAACCCCTGAAGGAGTTAGGGGTACAGCTAACTAGTATAGTGCTTGCCTAGGATTTAGTGTGAGGCTCTGGGTTCTACCTCCAGAACCTAGATCTAAAGTAGAGTGAGGTCAGGCCAGTCTGGCTTATATGAGGAGAGCCTGACTCAGAAATGAAACTAGAATGACCTCAGAACCACATTCTGTCCCAGCAGACTCCCCACCTTTTCCCATACCTGGGTGGCTCCTGTAAGCCCCGGGGGAATTATCCAGGATCACAATGCTTGAAAGGTCGCTGTGGACCACAGAGAGGTCTTTGATGTAGCTGCCCAACTCCAAAGTGCAGTGCTGAAAAGTAGAGGGCCGTGTGGCACGCGTCCACCCGCCCTCCCACCTCCCGCCCTGGTAGCCGGCCCCTTACCTGTCTGTAGTATCTCCTCTTCAAGATGCTTCTGCTGTTGTCCAGTTTGTCTGCCACAGCAGAGCCGTAAATCTCCATGCTTGCTGTAAACACCACAAGTTCATACCACTGGCTTACCTGAAGGAGATTAGAGAGGAATAAGGCTGTCATACAAAGTCAATGAAATTTACACACAACATTTCTTTCTCAGCCTCAGCCTTCCAGTAACATCAAATGTCTGTGAAAATGCAAACTTCCAAGCTCAGTGTCTGCAGCAAGCAAGACCCTTAAGATTCAGAGCTACAAACAGAAAAGTGCAGGATGCCTGTAAGAGAAGGCGGCACTGCAGTCCCAGCTACTGAAAGCCCTTCCCTTCCCTTCCTTTCCCTTCCCTCCCTAAAGCCTCTCCTTTACAAAACTGCCTTTACCCAGTGTCTCTGCTGTAATTAAACACGGACTAAAAACAACGCGGGGAGGAAAGGTCTATTTTATCTCAGAACTCCCAGGTCACGCTCCATCACTGAGGGAAGTCCAGGCAAGAACCTTAGGGGTGGGAACTAGGAGACCACAGAGGGATGCCGCTTCCTGGCTTGCTTTCTATTGGCTTCCTTACGCAACCCAGGACAAGCTGGCCAAGGACAGCACTGGCCTCCATGGACTAAGCAACTATCAAGTTGTTCACCTCTCCAACCACAAGGACACAGCAGCCTCCAGGTGCTTGGCCGCTCAGGTGGAAGACATCTCATTACTATTTTAATGTAAACTGAATAAGTTCTTTCAATACCTGTTCATCCTATCTGTTCTCTTCCTCTAGAGAACCCTACAGAGAGTGGCAGCAGAGAATGGGATCTTGCTGACTGTGTTGATCTGGGGGAGAATTGTAGAAGCATTTGGAACTTTTGAGCTGGAGGAGCCACTGACGCATATTAATGGGCTATTCTGGAAGAGCTTACAAGACAATCCTGAGAACTCTGCAGAGCACAGAAGCCTGGCTTACACTCTCAGAGGAAATCCCAGACTACCAGAGCTGTTAATATAGTATTCTGGACTAAGAATCTGAGGACACAGCACCGACATCAGGCAGCTCACAACTAACTTGCCTGTAACTCCAGTTCTAGGGACCCAGTAACCGGCCGCCATGGACACTAGGCATACACATGGTACACAGACACAGAAGCAGGCACTCACATATGCATAAAAATGCAAACTCTTTAATAAAAAGAAATCTATGGACCAAGGCCAGGTATGGTAGCACACACCTAACTTTAATCCCACCAATGCATGGGCAGAGGCAGGAGCAAGAGGTTCTCTGAATTTGAGGCTAGCCTGGTCTATACAGTGAGTTCAAGACAGTCAGGACTACATAGAGAGACCCTGTCTCAAATAACAACAAAAGTCTGTGGAAGAGGAATCTATCCTTTGATGGGTCACATGCATATTGGTTAGCTAGGGCTGGAGATCAGCTATGATTAAAAAGAGACCAGCTGTGCTGGGGAGTTGGCTCAAAGGTTAAGAGCACTGGCTGCTCATCCAGAGGTCCTGGTTTCCAGCACCCACATGGTGGCTCACAACTATAATGATCTCATCTATAATGAGATCCGGTAGCCCCTTCTGGGGTGCAGGTGTACAGGGAGGCAGAACACGGCATACATAATAAATAAGCAAGCAGAGGTGGGATCTTCTGGAAAGTATCTCCTCTGGGTTGGCACACAAGTTATGGTCTGGAGGGCTGAGGCTGACTCTAGAGCTGGCAGCCAAACTTGGTATGTGTTTCTAAGTCCTCCATGGCATCACTGAGCCATCTCCCACCCAGGGTTATGGTGACGTGTTAACTTGTCAAATGCAAAGGATGGAATGAGGTGTTTGGTTTTAATGTCAATTTGCTACAGGTTAGAAGCTGCAAACAGGGAGCTCAACTCAAGAACTGCCCGGGCTGCCATCGCTGAGGTGGGGAGCCCCCCCCATGTTGGTGGGGGCTTCTGCTAGCAGCCCAGGTAAGAAGGCACCAGAAAAGGAGCATTATCCGCCTCTTACTCATTAGGCCTCCCTCTTCCAGTGTGCCCATTCACCCTGCAGCTGCAGCTGCTCCTTCACTAACACTACAACCAGCACTTCCAGGCATCTGCTATTAACCAAGGACCAGCAGCTCTTCAGGAGCCGTCCAGGTTTTCAGCACCAGACTGGGACCGTGCAGATGGTAGCTTCATGGACTGAGCAAGCATGAGACTATCAGCCTCCCCAGTCCGCTACTGAGCCACCCAACCAAGGACTGAGCAGCTACAAAGTTTCTCAGCTTCTCAGGTCTGACACAACTTGACCCTGTTTTTATATATGTGTGTGTGTATACACATTGGCTCTCTTCCTCTAGAGAACCCTGGAGTACTATCCTAATCTCTCACCTTTTCCTCCACATCCCCTAAAGACCTAGAACCCCACAACCATTCTTTCATCAGAGAGTCAACATTAGCTCATGCACACTCACCACTTCTAAGAAGAAATCCACATGGGGTCTCTTATGGACAAAAAACCGGACAGGATGTTTGTCTATTACCACCTGTAGAGGAACAGGGAAGAGGTGAGGGCACCCCTAAACAACGCCATGCTGGCCTTGCCCCATGCCCACCACATGCTTTTCTCCTGCTGGCAGACCCTGGTGCCAGGTCTCGCCAAGCCCTGACCCTTAGGACTAGGAAATGGAGTTTGTCTATAACCGGTAAGAGGTGTAAGCATTTCCTCAGCTCCACACACCTTGAGGATGAAATCAGGAGGTGTTCCAGGCCTCACTGTAGGCCTCAGGACCCCATCATGGTGAGAGTGAATAAGGGTTTCATCTAGATCCAGCACCAGGATCTTCCTCTTCACCTGTGCTGTAATGCAACGGGAAGGACAACGCTAAGTGACCCGCAGCCCCGGCCGGGAGCCCCTCTCCCCCTCCAGGACTCTTCCACCCAGCAGACTCACCTAGTCGATTCCGGGACAAAGGAGATAAGGGAAGAATATCATAGCGAACAGTTTGATACTGAATTACCTAAAAATAGCAAGAAGAGAATTAGAGCCCCCTATAAAGAAATCTTTCCTGGCTGCAACAGCAGCCAATACGGAGCATTTACCATATGCCAGGTCCTGTATGGATGACTCAGGACCTCATATATAATCCTGATAGGAACAGAGGTAATGTTCAATGGTAGAGCCCTTTTCTAATGAACAAGAGACTCTAGGGTCAATTCCCAGCACCATGAAAACAAAAATCCTAATAATACTGTTACTATCCTTGTTTAAAGGATGGTGAAATAAACAAGGATTAAATATCTTCATGCCTAGGACTGCACAACTAAGACTTATCTCCTTTGTTAAAATGGAAACTCCACGAGTTCATTTCCTCTCAGCCATACCTATTTTTCCAGTACCTCAAAGACTGTGGCGAGGACGACTTAAAAGCAGAATGTGTCTTAATGTGGTATTATCCTGCTACACTGAACAATGAAAGAAACACAGGTCTCCACACCTCAAGGGTTCTTCAATGGTCACCCTTAGCATCTCACTGGGAACCAACACCCTCAGACGCTTAGTGGGCAGACAGTAGGACTCAGGAAAGGAAGTCCTCGGATCACTGAGGGGACAGGAGCTGAGGGAAGCCAGGGGTTGTCAGGTCAGCTCAGTACCTCTGGCCAGGGGCCACCAAGACTATTTTAAACAGCCACCTGTCCACTTGTGTTTCTACTAGCCAAGTCACAAGGTGCAGTGACTCTGAGGAGCTCCTTTTGCCTGGTACCCAGAGCAATGTAGAGAACATTAAAACGTCCTACTTGCAGGCTGACAGGACACAGAGAAGTCCAGAGTGAAGAAAGGACTGCGACAGAAAAGTGAAGAGGGAAAAAGACATCGCTACCTCAAGCTTCCAGCTCTGCCTCTCCAAGGCTTTTCTGGAAGCTACTTCCTAATTCCCAGAGCTTCTCTGCAAAGCCTGGCAGTTCCCTCCTTACTTTTCTTCTAACATACAAATGCTCTTTAACCCATCCCTAGGTCCTAGGCCACACATTCCCTACTTGAAAACCAAAGGGTTCTCTCTTCTTTAATCCCAAGGCATCTGCCCTTCTTTTCTCCCTGAGCCTGTGATGAGGGCTGAAACAGCTCGTGTGTCCTGCCCTGCTATCTCGGGTTGCACTGGGCATGTAGGGAATGCTCCAACTATCTGCCAGAAAGGGCGTGGGGAAGAAAGCAGACTGGAAGGGAGGAGAGGACAAAGGCTGGGGTCAATGATGTACAGAAGAGAACAACTTAGGAAGTAACTAATCTCCCAATATTTAGCCTGGAGCACTGTGCCCTACAATGAAAAGAGGGAAAAAAAAAAGAGCCGATAGAAGAGGGAGGATTCTCAGGACAAGGTCAGAAAGAAAAGAACAGATGTCAACACATAAAGAAAAATCACAGGGTTAGGCCTACACTGCCAGCCTTGCACACCCCGGGGTCTTTCCTGGGTCCTACCTTAGGAGACTAGTGTCCTTATAACAACCACCCAGAGGAATCCTCACATAAAGCAGAACAGACTGCTAGAGGGTAAGTGTAAGTCTAAGCCATTCAGTCAAGTCCACTACCTGTACCACCAAAGTCTCTCTGCGGCCTAGGGTGCCTAAGATTACAGCCAGCCCACTCATTTCCCCTCGAATCTGCGTTCAAGAGATTTTCCCCAGGGGTGATGAAAACATGAGGGCCTAAGTCATTAAATGGTGTTAGCAGAAATTTTACCTTAGAAAAAAGCTTAAGGGAGAAGGAGAACCCAGAGACACTTGGGTTCATCCAGACAGGCTCTACACTCCAGGAGCCCCTTCCCAACTGCTGCAGGCTTCGGGAGAAACATGCCCACCTTCAGTCGCAGGCTCTAACAGCCAGGTCTGAGACACCCAATTTTAACGTGCTGCATCTTACAACTAAAGATGCCCATCATAAAAGCATCTCAACACACATACACACACTACATGCTTCCAGACTTTTTTTGGAGTTCCTTCCCACCCAAGGCTTTCCCCCAAGTACCTTATCTATCGCTGCTACACATGTCCTCCTACCCACCCACACCACTGACAAAGGAACTTGACTCCTTCAAACAGGAGGGTCTTTCCGGAGTCCACATCAACCTCCTGGCTACCAGCGAACAGGTGTTCCCCGCCTCTTGCTTTCGTTAGCAACAACTCCAGTTTTCTTAAAGAGAGCACCATTATAGGCCCTCAGGAGCTGCCAAATCCTATCCCATCGAGGCAGGCTAAAAGAGAAACCAAAACCACCAAAAATCGTGGTTCTTTTATTAACGTCTGAACCGTGCTTAAAGGTGTCCTGCGTCTCCAGCGGGTAAAGCGCCGGCCAAGGCACCCTTCCTAGGCCCCAGAGAGGCCCAACACCATCCAAAATTTCGCGAGCACCGCGGACTGAGGTCCCCGGCACTGCCAGCACTTACACGAACTCACCGTGCGGATCTGCCTCCGCAAAAGATAAATAAAGAAGCTCCAGAGCTTGGCGGCGAAGGCCACGAACGTGCGCAGCCCTAGCAGACACTGCGTCCGCATCATCCCGATGACCCCGGCACCGCCGGCCCCGGGGCCCCCGCGGCCCAGCTCCGCCAGCCCCCCGGGGGCAGCCCCCCGCCGCCGGGAGGGGGAACGGGGGCCCCGAGCGGCAGGAGAGGCTGCAGAGATGGGCACGGAGCGGGTGGCTCAATAAGCCACCGCCAGCCAAGGGAGAGCCCAGCGGAACCTGGAGCTGGGGGGCCGGCGTGGGCAGCCCGCGGGGGCCCACATGAGCGGGAAGCGGCACCGGCGGCTTCGCGGACGCTGCAGGCCGAAACAGGTCGGGCTCGGACGGGGTCCTCCGAGACCCGGAGGGAAGGGGATGGAGAATTGGGGGAGGGGGCGGTGGGGGAGGGGGCCGGGAGGAGGGAGAGAGGGAGGGGGAAGGCGAAGGGTGGCCCTCTGCGCAGGCGCGCTGGGGGTCTGCCCCGGGAAGGGGCGGGCGGGGGCAGCGGCGCGCGGCGGGCCGCTCTCGGGGCGGCGGAGCGCGGGAGCCGGGGAGGAGGGGAGGGGGAGCCGAGAGGCGCGGAGCGCTGGGCCGGAGTGGCCTCCCCCTCCCCGAGGTCGGGCCTCCTAGCCGCTGAGGAGCGGGGCCGCAGCCTCTGCAGCTGGGCTTCCCACTCTGACAGGCGCCATTTTACCGCCCGGAGGGCTCCCTCCTCCTCTCTGCCCTCCTCCTCTTCCCCTCTGACAGTACTTCCGGTCGTGACGTGTGCTCCCTTCCCCGGGACCGCTGTTTCCTCCTCTCGCTCTAACGAGGGAGGCTCGGCTTAAGGGGAGCGGAGGAGGGCGCTCGGACCCGGGCTGCAGCGTTGCGCACGCGCGCGGGGTCGCCGCGGGGCGGGGCCGAGTGACGTCACTCCCCGGGGCCGGGCCCTCGCGGGCTGTGGAGCTCGCGCGACCCTCGTCCCCAGCCCACGGGCAACTGCTGCAACGGCCCTCCTCGGCCCGGCCGTGCAGAGTGCGGAGGCCATCTCCACGGCTGCGGGCCGGCGCTCGGGAGCGGCCCCTCCGAGCGAGCCCGCCTGGGAAGGCCGGACCTAGGGAAATAAAAGTCGTGGCCTCGGCCGGGACTCGGCGGGCCTCAGAGCCGGGCGCGCGCGGGAGCGCCCCGCCCCCTCGCTCGTGACGCCATCAGGAGGCGCCGGCGGCCGCCGAGATGCTGGAGGCGCTGCTGGCTGGCGGCGGCCTGGTGCTCCTCCGAGGTGAGCGGTGAAGGCCCGCGGGGCCGGCCCCGGGCTTGGCTGAGGGTCGGGAGGCTGGAGGAGCCGCCGCAGACGCCTGGCTAGGGGTGGAGGTCGCGGTGGAGCCCTGAGGGCCCCGTGGGGCTCACCCCCGCTTGGCTCTCCGCAGACTCCGTGGAGTGGGAGGGCCGTAGTCTCCTGAAAGCTCTTGTCAAGAAAGCTGCTCTCGGGTGAGTTACCCCGCAGCTTCTCCTGGTCCTTCCCGGGAAGGGAGCCGGGACCCCAGCTCTTCGACATCTCTCCTCCTCTCTGCCCTAGCGGGGACCGAGTCCACGTTCTTGGCTGTGAAGTGAGTGAGGAAGAGTTCCGCGAGGGTTTGGGTTCCGATGCCAACAGCCGGTAAGTAGAAGTTAGAGCGGGCTTATTCGGACTACAGTTGCTAAAGGCTTCTCTTCAGCGGGAACCGCAGAGTCTCATTTTGTGGAGAACTGGGGATCGTATGGCTTGGAACAGTAGAAATTACACCGCCAGCAAGTTGTGTTTTAGAGACGTTAGCCCCAGCTGGCCGACTTGACTGGAGTGAAGGGACACAGCACTGAGTAAAAGCGACAAGCCGCTTTTGCTCAGTTAACAAAAGAGAGCAGTAGACTCTTGGGTATTTTCTTGTATGTACATTAGCATTCTGGCTTTAATGTTTTCAGGTTATAGTCAACTAGGAAACTACTGAGTTTCTCCTACAGTTGATACCATCATCTTTTGTAAATGTATTTGAAGTTGGTTTGTTCTGTGCTTTATTGTAAGGCTCAGGACTGTGGATGGTAGAATTGAAATGAAAAAGAGAATATTAATTCCAAAGGGCAATGGGCTAAATAAATCTTTGGACAAAACTTCTTTTTTTCTTCCTCAGAAAAGGACATTTGGTTTGGTTTTGTTGTTGTTTTGTTTTTTAATCTCTTTATGTAGCCGAGGCTGCCTTGCAACTCACTATGTAGCCCACAGTACTCTCAGCCGTCCTGCCTAATCCCACCATGTGCCTTTACAAGCACCATGTCCAGTTTATAAATTTTTCTTCAATAAAAAACAGCATAAGGCCGCTGTGGTAGTGTACACATGTTAGTCTTGCAGTGAAGTGAAGGCAGATACAGGCAGATGCCAGCCAGGGCTACGTAGTGAGACTCTGTCGAAATAAATGATAAACATAAAACAAGATAAATTTACTTTTAAAGGCACAAATGGTTATTAAGTGACTGTCTCCTTGTACTGCTTCCATAATTATATGTTAAAGATACAAGTGACTTTAAAAAAGTGACTTTAAAGGTTTATGAGTGTTTTGCCTACATATATATTTATGTACCAGGGGCGTGCCTTGGTGCTTACAGAAACTAGAAGAGGGTGTTGAATCCCCTGGGGCTGGTGCTGGGAATCAGATCAGGATCCCCACAAAAGCAACAGGTGCTCTTACCACTGAGCCCCTCTCCAGCCCCAAAGACAAAATGATGTTTAAATGACTAACATGTTTACAGTGCTGGAGTGAGTGGACTCTAATTCAAAAATTGAAGTGAAGAGAATGGTTCAGTATGAAGACAGAAAACCAAGCCACTCCTCTTGCTTTTATTATGTGTAGAATCAAGTGAAAAGTTAGTGTTTTTAGCAAAAGTGATCTTTAGCTTTCTAACTAGGTTTTGGTTTTTCAAAACAGGGTTTCTCTATGTAGTCTTCACTGTTTTAGAACTCGCCTTATAGACCAGGCTGGACTATCACAGAGTTTTGACTGCCTCTGTCCCCCTAGTGCTGGGATTCAAGGAGTGCAACCACCACATCTGCCAAATTTTTTAATTAAAAAAAAAAAAAAAATGATCTTCAGTGTTCTGGACAGGGCTTCTAAAACTTTTTCCATGTGGGAACTTTGCGCTTGAGAACTTTTTATGTAACATGTAGATACACAGAGTAAATACTTAGTGATAATAAGTCGCAAGGGAGGTAGTAAAGCTCTGTGGGTAGAGCAGTGTTCTCAAGGCCCCAGATTCAATCCCTGCTATCCTCCAGATGGTCAGTGTAGCACGTGCCCTTATTACCAGCACTAAGGAGGCAGGGACAGCAGAAAGGTATCTGAGGAGTTCAAGGCCAACCTGGTCTACATAATAAGATCCTGACCCAGAAAATAAACTAATAGGGGCTGGAGAGATGGCTCTGACTGGTTAAGAGCACTGGCTACTCTTCCAGAGGACCATGGTTCAATTCCCAGCCTGCACATGGCAGCTCACAACTGTCTGTAACTCCAGATCCAGGAGATTTGACGCCTTCACACAGACATGAATGTACTCAAAACCACCAGTGCACCTAAAATAAAATTAAGTAAATTATTTTTTAAAAAGAAAAGATAAATTCATGCTGGCCTGGTGCCTGCTGCCCTTGCAGAGGACCCAAGTTTGGTTCCCAGCTTCTAAGGAGGGCGGTTGACAGCCACCTGTATTTGCAGCCTACAGCTGTGTAATGTCGTCTCCGGGCTTCCCTGGGCACCTGTACTCACCCGCACATGATCACACCCTCACATGCGTACACATAATTAACAGGGAGATAAAATTCTTTTAAAAATGATAAATTTGGGGCAGTAGAGGCACGGCTCAGTTGGTAGAGTGCTTCCTCAGCTTGTTCAAAGCCCTGGTTTGATCCCCTGCGCTGCATCAACCTGTCAAGCTGTGTCCTCATACATAATCTGATCCCAGCACTTGTGAGGTTTAGGCAGGCAGCTCAGCAAACAGGGTCATCCTTGACCCGTTTTGACCCTGCCCCCAAAACTAATAAAAGTACCTAAAGGAGCAGGTAGATCCTTAGGAGAATGAGGTTCCCTGAAGCTGTAGTTACAGGGAGCTGTGAACTGATGGAAATGAGGAGTGACCATTTAAGACAAAGACTGTAGAGGAAATAGAAAGAGGTAGGCAGTGTGTGTCCTGACCTGCCCAATGCACAGTAACCAAACGCTGCCCTTTGAGTTACTCCGAGCACAGATTTAGTTTAGTCATAGAGTGCAGGCTTGCACCAGCACTGACTGCAGGACCCTGACAGATTTGTCCTCAAGGCAAAGGCAGCAACAGAATAACGTGTGACATGGCAGAGGAAGCCAAGCAGATAAAGCGGTACCTGTAAGGTCTCACACAGTACAATAGCAGTTTAGATGTTATGCCAAGGACAGTCGGAGGAGAGTAAGTCACGCCATGCCTTTTAGAAACACTAGTCCATTGATTACCATGTAGAGAACGTCACAGCAAGGCAGCTTGGGTGTGCCAACTAGTTAGGAAGGCTTGCGCTGTGTCTGGGTTCACCCACTAGTGTATCCACGGAGCATCAAAAATCTGGGCCGTGCTGAGACACTGGGGGAGAACAAATGTCAGAGGGACTTGAAAGGGTAGAATTCCCAGTCAGATGACCCGGACAAGGGCCAAAGCCAAGCTTGGAACGTAGGTTATGACACACCAGAGTCTGTGCTGTCAGCTACTAAATCCTTTCAGTAATTAGCTTTCATTAATACTTAAGGTATCGGTGAAAATTGAGAAAGCAGGGTCCAGAAATTAGGGAGAAGTTCAGGCTATAACGTGTCTTCTTTCACTTTGCAGCCTGCTTTACCATGACCTCTTCAGAGATCCTCTTAACTGGTCAGAACCTGGGGACGTTGTCTCTGAAGGACCACTAGGAGCCTTGAGAGCCTTGTGCAGAAGGACGGACCCTGGCCCTGTCACAGTTGCTCTTGATTCTCTCAGCTGGTTGCTGTTTCACATTCCCTGTGTTACCCTCTGCCAAACTCTACATGCTCTGAGCCAGC